AATGTGCCCCAATCAAGAAGTGCTTGAACACGACTCAAGCACTTCTTGGTTCACAGTCACGCCCGGACCGCTGAGAAATCAACATACCGCTGAGCTCCGTGAAAAAATGCGAAATAAATGCTTAGAGTATGTAAAATGTCGTTTTTTCGATAAGTTTCTAATCAATGTTTTTTCATTTAACGCATTCAAAGTAAATTTTGTTTTAATACTTACTATAAACAGATTTAATAGAAAATATTTGTGTTATTTAAATGCATGGTCGGTAATATAGCCGTCTCTTTTCCTCGCGGTCCGTACCTGCTATATTGCTAACAGGGCATTCAGAATTGCGCGTAGAGTCAAAGAAATAAGATCTATATTCTTCCGCATAGAGCAATAAGTCGTTAAAATTTTACGAGCTTACACGTCGGACTGTCATAAATCTATGACGTATGCGTTTTTTAATTAAGACCTTATGCTGTTTGCTGTAAAGGTGATTTTCAATGTTTAAATAATACCTTATATTGTTTAGACTCCGTGATCATCTTACGGAGCTCCGTGGATCGTGTACCTTGTGGACAGGTTTCGGGCATGATTTTGTTCGTGTTGGTGTATCTAGGGTATTTAATATATTATTTGTTTTATATTCTAAAAAAATGTGTTTTCTTTATAATAACAAAACAAAAATATAGCATGTTTTAAAAAAGGATGTCAGCTAATGTTCTCCCCAGGAGATCATCATATTAAAATATGAGTAAAAAGCTGCCAAGTGCGAGTCGGACTCGCCTATGAAGGGTTCCGTAACAGCAAGTAACATAATATAAAAGTTGTTGTAGTTCTTTGTTTGATCGATGTTTTAATAATAGTGTATTGTTTTTAATTGATTTGTGATTTATAACGTATTAAAAGATAGACAGTAGTAGATCTCATTCAAAACAATTTTCGGTAGATGTTTGCATAGTAATGTACATAATATTTTTTTTTTGTTTTATCAGTCTCTTTATTTTAGAAGTTGCAGAGGGGGGGGGGGGGACATTTTACCACTTTGGAAGTGTCTCTCGCGCAAACTATTCAGTTTAGAAAAATAAAATTAGAAACCTCGATGCCATTTTTGAAGACCTATCCATAGATATCGCACACGTATGGGTTTGATGAAAAAAATTTTTTTAAGTTTCTGGTCTAAGTATGGGGACCCCCAAAATTTCTTGTTTTTTTTTATTTTTGTGTGAAAATCTTAATGCGATTCACAGAATACATCTACTTACCAAGTTTCAACAGAATAGTTCTTACAGTTTCGGAAAAAAGTGACTGTGACATACGGACGGACTGACGGACGGACATGACGAATCTATAAGGGTTCCGTTTTTTGCCATTTGGCTACGGAACCCTAATAAAAAAGCTTTTGAATGAGAAATTCTAAAATAATATAATAAAATATTACTATAACCCAAGGATAAATAAAACTCTGCCTACAAACAACAGTTTTCAACAAAAAAATATATAAACTTGTTATTCATCATAACAAGAGCATCAAATATTTTTTGGTTATTTTTAAATTTATATTACATGTTATTTTTGTTGAGGTTTGTATGATTATGGTAGGCAGACGTATTGATATACTCTGCCGCACTCATTAATGAACAAAGAATAATCTTGGATTAGTTACTTTACGGTTTGTCTGTGTTCATTGAATTACAAATGGCACAACAGCGAAATAAACAAAACTCAAGTTTACTAATAAGTGGGTGCAAGTCAAACTTGAGTACCAAATTATACCTATAATGCTATGTGCATGGCTACCATTGTAACCGGCAACGCCATCTATTAGACTTCCAATAGACTACGTTCAAAATGTCGATAAAAAACCGTCATTAGCTATCTAACCAACCTTGTGATTTTAAACTCAAGGTCGCCAATCTAGGGCAAATAATTTCAACAACACCATCAAGAGAGGCGAATTGTCTTAATTAAATTTCCATTTTAACTTTGCTTTTCATGAAATGCATTCAATTGTTTTCTCTTTAGATACTACTATTATCAACTTGATAAATATAATTTTGTAAATGATTTCTCCAATCATGCAAACAGAGCTGATAAGATATGGATGATATTTGGCATTAGTTTTCTTGTGTTATACTTCATATTGGTGTATGGGTCTGGCCTGATTTTCTGATAATTTATTTTGTCTAAAGGTGTCCACAGAATTATATGAAATTCAAAGTCTACTTACTACCTACACAGACAAAATTGCAAGCTTACAGTAAAATAAAAGCATAACAGTGCTTCTAGTTTGAATAAAATATTATGAAATTAAACAGAAACAATGAAATTTAAAGAAATGTGGTATACATTTCTTTAAATCCACATTTCCTCCACATTTTATCTTTACAATTTATTAAAAATTCAAACAAAAACTACAAGGCCAGTTATCACATAAAAAACTCATTAAAGGCAGTATAATGGTAAAAAACTATTGATAATTTACTTTTCTGTAGAGGATAGGAAATTTTAATAGACAATATTGAACAAACTTGTCAATAATATCTATAGAATTAAAATAGCATATAAATAAATCACTCCACCCTTCTTTAAATAAAAAAATAAAAATTTCCAACACTCGTTCCAATTAGCCTAGCCCCAGACTAAGCACTGAATAGTTTATGATGATGGATACTAAGGTAACGGATAGAATATATATACTGATACATTTAAAAGTATATTTTATGCAGAAATTCATATAAACATCCGTGACTTTCCCCCTTAGCTCTTGGAAAAATATTTGTCTAGTAAATACAAGCCTTCTGCCCAGCAATGGCTGTGTGTATATACATATATTTCTCAAAAATATGCCTAATATGAATTAATAATTGTATGTTTTTAGACCATACTAGGGAGTGATTGTAAAAAATTAACTAGTCACAGCTTATTCTCAATTTACTAAAAAGGGGGAATTGGTTTGTTCTGCTTACTAAGACTCCGTCTTTCCCATTGGGCACTTTGAACAAGTGCCCAGGGCCCCGTGATCGATAAAAGGCCCCCTTAGATCAAATATAAAGTCCCTAGTTCCTGTTAAATCACCAAACGGAAGTCAGAGGGGCCCCATTATCCTAATATGCCCAGGGCCTCCAATAGGTCAAAGATGGCACTGTTAAGATGACTTTGATATGGCTGTGAAACGCATAGTAGTTAAATTAGTATATACAATGTAAATAGCATTAAAGAATGCTCTTAGTTATCAAGTTAATAACAGCCAGGTTGTCTCATATCACATCACTAGGAGCCAAACCTGTGTTACTGACATGGCATAACTCTGGTAGCAGTCTACTGATTCATCAAATCACATATCTTCATAGTCACAGTGGTGCCAACTGGTGAAGTAATTATTTTTTTAATTTATACACATACAGCTCAAAGATTTAGTAGGATGTAAACCAAATACAGTAAAAAAATACATTGTGTTCATATGAAATGTGATTATTAATTGAGGTGTTGGTATCAAAAATAGCATATTAGATTAAAAGTAGAAATTTAAGAATATTAACAATATAAGTAGACATACATCAGTTGTTGGTGATGACGAAGAAGACGGTGGCAACGGAGCTTGCCCTTGAGCAGCCGACAGTGCCCATGATGCTGCAAATGCACCGATGGCCAATAACACAGTCCTTCTTCTCAACATAGTGGCCCTGGTAATCATAATTTATTATTGAGATGTTTGTAGTGACTAAATAATTAATAACATGCAGTTTGAGATCACCACAAAGTCAAAGCATCTTTAGACAAATATGACTTTAAAATTTTCTTTACTGTATTTTTTTTTATTAAACTGACTTCCTGGTAAGTAAAAACAGCGGCAATGACACCCAATCAGTCGTAGCATAACCGGTAGTTAAAAAATATAATAAATTAGTTTCCTCGTCCAAGTGACGATTCTATGTCACGACTTTTTAGTCTTTATTGAAAAGTTAAGTTATTCAGGTGCATGATAAAACATTAGGTACATACCGACTAATACAAGGAAGGTTATCATCAAATAAATCAGAAAACGTCACCTTTCTACTCTTATTTATATTTTACACTTACGTTTTCTTTCGAAGCCTGTATTGTCAAGACTACCAACTCTTAATATTATAAAAACATCACAGACTAGTGCTTTTTTCAAATCATTAATAGATAATCAATTAAAATCACGATTATTTGAAATAATCTACAATTTAAATGCATAAATTCGAGGTTACCATCAAACAACGAAAGACACGAAAACGAAAACCACAGGACAGACGAAATAACGTAGAATTTTAAAATGTTGCCATACCTTTTTCGGATTTATTACGCAAACTAAAACTGAAAACAAGATTAGTTGATTAATTGGCATGAAACGCTTATAAATAAAGGAAAATGGTATCATAAAATTAATAATGTGATTGGTCAACATCCACGGTTTACAAAATCTAAAGAATACCATAGCCGGAAATTGTATACCACCATCACACTCTTGAGATTTGGACATGGATGTTTTAATTCACATTTACATAGAATGAATATAATTACATCTCCATTATGCACTAAATGTAATTTAAATGTAGATCAAACACTAAACCATATATTTTTTGAATGTACAGCATATAATATTATACAAAAAAGCCTTACCTTAATGCCTAACTGAGAATTACTAATTTAATGAAAACCTGCGTGACATTCAAGACATTGTTATGAATCCAGAATCATACAAATATTTATATATTTGTTTAGTTTCCATAGTTAAAATTACGTGACGTTATACACACAAGATGATGTATTTAAAATCGGATTTGAAAATCTGGGAGAAAAAAAAAACATAAGCCGAAAATGGATTAAAAATGGAATATTTAGCACAAATATTTTATGATTGAAGAATTGGCTTCGGCCTTATAGAAAAAAAAATCTAAAGAAACTTTTAAAAAAAGTCTATGACTGCATGGCTCTGCCTTTGCCTTTCCCAAGATGGGAGAAAATGATTAAAAAAAAATGCTAATAAAACAAAAGTGTCAAAATAAATAAATAACCTATTTAATCATTTAAAAAATGCCTTTAGATTATCGAAGATTCAATGGACCTGATGATAGTGTTTCCTACAAACGCTTCACAGACAACTATTTGAAGAGTTACGATGAACTGTATGAAGAGCTGATCGACAAAAACAGTCGTAGGAAAGACGGACGAAAATTGGATGAAGCCCGAAGCATGTGTATGTTTTGTATGTGTTTACCCTTTTAGCACTATTATAAGTGTCAATTATTATCTGATATCGAATTTGGACTCCAACTTATATCTGAAAATTATAATATCAAATTAAAAATTGTAGGTAAGCAATATTCTAAGGCAATGTTTTACAAATACTTCATGTATGAAACAATTTCTTTCCAGTTGCTCGCACCGATTTGATCTCACAAGCAAAAGGTTCTGCGTACATCGAATTAAAGAAAACCAAAGTGGTTTGTTCTGTTTTTGATCCCAGGGAAATACCACATCAAAATGAATTCAGGTTTATACTTATCAAATTACAGAGCTACTCATTTAATTCAAAAACTTTTAATCATACAAGTAACTGTATTGGTGCGAAAAATCCTATGCTTCTTCTTGAAAGATATCGTATGCTTTCCAATTACAGAGCATAATGCGACTCAGTGCCGCACAATGCCCAATTATGCTGATGCTTAATTGGAACGTGAATTAGTTTTCAAATGCACCAGCAGAGAAGTTCAGTGTTGAAAAAAAAAAGTCAATGTTTGTACCTTCATCCATACTTATATTTATTTTTTAACAGTTTGAATGAACTTAGATTATTTAAAAAAAACTATTTAATGAAGCGAAAGCTTTAATAATTTTTCAACAATAAATAATATTACTAACGATAACATATAAATAAAACATTTCGATCAATGCCAACTTAAAGAAAAAACACTTGTTAATTTTCTGTCTCTAAGTTGGTACCATTGCACCACACGAAAGCATCACTTTTGAGAGTGCTCAATTGTGCGAAGAGTTGGTGTAGTTGGAACACTCAACGTTAAGCATTATGCCGCATAATGCGCTGTATTGCTGTAATTGGAAAGCAACCATCATTACTTTAATATTCAAAATTACCCTATCTTAGTCTAATCGAATTGAATAGCAAATAGTCATGGAACCATAACTTCATTCAGTCTCTTTTATTGCAGCCAATTAGGTCAGCTTTACTGTGAAGTGAAATTTGCACCATTTTCATGTGTACGACAAAGGCGTCCACATGCTCCAGACGCAGAGGAGAGAGCTCTGTCTGTTGCTTTACGCCAAGCTTTAGAACCAGCAGTTTGCAGACATTTGTTTCCAAATTATCAGGTAAATACAATTTCCCACTCTATAGAATGGGTTTTATTATAGATGTGTATTGTAGATCCATCTACCATTAATATTATATACATATGTTAAAGTTTGTATGTTTTTTACTCAATCACACTAAAACTACTGAATGGATTCAGATGAAATTTGGTATGTTAATGTAGATGCAGGTAGCTGCTAGTGTTATGTTACTGTTATAAAAAATAAATGAAGAATATTCCATGATATATGTTTAGTAATGATAGTTATTAAATTAAATTAAATGTAGTTCTTAAAAATGTAACTAGTTATAAATATTATTGTTATGTGTATAATATTTCTTATTACAGGTAGATGTATTTGTCTACATTCTTGAACATGATGGTGCTTGTTTAGCAGCTGCAATCAATGCAGCAGGGCTTGCATTAGCAAATGCCTCAGTCCCCATGTATGATATAATCACAGCATGTTCTTTGGCCATTATCGGTGAGAAAGTATTTGTTGATCCAACTGAGGCAGAAGAACATCTTGCTATAATGTCTCCAGATACAGAAGGCACAAATCATGGCATCATTACCATGTCCATGATGTCAGAATTGAAACAAGTGTCCGACTTTATGCAAATAGGCTCGATGGATGTTCAATGTGTCACTAAAGTCATGGAGATTTTGGAAAAAGAATGTGAAACTATTGTGCCCAACATACAAAAAGTTTTGGTTCTCAATGTTGTTCAGTGTTTCAACCAGAGAAAACAGTTAGAGGCAGAGGCAAAAGAGAGAGAAGCTGCCTTGAATGCCAAAATGGAGGAGTGGAAAAAAATATTAAATGCAGGGTGAAATTTAAAATATTTTTGGTTTCATTTTGTTCCTATAGAACTTACACAAGCTGGATTAATTTGATATGATTTAAAAACAATATTTGTACTTGCTGAAAGGGAATTGCTCTTTTAGACAAAAAGAAATTATATTTTTCTTCAGATTATATTCCTATTAGTTTCCTTTGCTTCTCTCGAGTAACAATAAAATCAATAAATAACTAATGCAATATGTTTGCCTAATAGACACTAATGTCCTATATTGCAATAGGTTGTGAACAACCTGCGGCTGGCGATGGTGTGCGCTGAGTATTTACCCCGGCCGCGACTATCACTAATAGTCAAGTGGTGAACCGTCAGTTTTTAGTGGGTAGGCCCTTCCAGTCCAGCAGTGCTGCCAACCCGAATTTTAGAAAATTAGTAGATTATGTGCCAAATGTTGGTAGAAGTTGGTAGAATGTAAAATGCAAAATTGGTAGATCTACCACCTCAATTTAGAAGGTTTTTTAAGATTAAAAATGCATGCAAAGCAATGCAGAGCACACTTCAGATCACATGATTTGCAATAAAAATATCCGTCCCCCTTAGTAATTTCTTAAAGCCAACCTGCAAATTCCTTGTCTTTCTCCCATAATTTCGAATATTTTTGTTCATAGTGCCTTTTTCTAGGTTTTTGTGGCGGAGTTCCTAACCTAGAACTATGTGCATCGCTTTCGCTGCTGTCAGAATCCATTATATAAATAAATGCACGCAACATAGAAAGAACAAACAGCAATCAGCACCGTTAATACGCAGTTAATTAGTTTTTACAATAAAACAGGAGCAAAGATTCAACATTGATTCCGCAACAAACCAACCGTTAATAGGCCACAGTAGGAATAGTAAAATATGGGCGCGAAATTGTGCGAACGCCGAACTCATGGCGAACTGTTGCTTTTTTTTTGTGGTTTATGGCCTGGACTCTATATATGCTTGACGCATCGTTGCATGGCTCACGCAATACATCGCAACGTCGCTCGTCGATATAAAAATATGGTGATATGTCAAACTAATTAAAAAATAGGTAGTTTTTAGGTCTAGGGTGGTAGATAGGTAGACTGAAGTGAAAATTGGTAGATCTACCAAAAAGTTGGTAGATATGGCAGCACTGCAGTCCAGGTCGATTAGCGATCTGGATTGCACTCTGGGGGGGAGAGTCCCACATAACCACAGGGTCAACCCCTTACACTGGCTCTGTGGTATGCGTAAGGCATTTTCTGACGTTAAAAAAAAAAAAAAAAAAAAAGGTGAACAACCTTTACTTTACGTAACTTTCATTGTATTGTTTTATTGAAATTAACAAACTCAGAAAATTATAATAAAGATGAGCAGCTGGTTAGTACTAACAACTATTTGACAATGTGTAAACTGAAAAATTAAGTGAGCCTAGGACCCTGCCTGCCTGGCATGATCACTGCAATATGATTAATAGTTTTATATCATGGTCAGTTGTCAAAATAATATAGACCTTGACAGTTAGGCGAGATTAAAAACGTGATATAATGTAAATTGTAGTGTTCATGCTACGGGGACTGGGATTTGTAAACTATAGGATAGGAATATTACTAAAAAAGAAAACATTCACTGTCAGTGTCACCTATTTATATTATTTAAAACTTAAAGGTTAATTTTCCGATTCTTACAGAAGTACAAATAAATTCAGAGATCAATTAGTCCTCCGGTTTTTCTGGGGGCGGCCCGCTAGGCTGCAGCATTCTTTCCATCAGATTAAATTTCACTCGCGCTTTAGACTCGTTTTCAACGATGGCAAAATAACTGAGCAAATCCGGGTGGCCCATGTAGCTGCAACACGAATCTCTGTGCTGGTTCGTGAGCCATTCGTATTTAGTGGTGTCTGCGTGCCCGGTGCCGATGTACTTACTCTGTAGATGTTCAAGTTGACTGTGGATGTTGTATCTTTCACCCATTTTTTCTGTAATGCACGTGTAATCATTAAAAAGATATCTAAGTATCAGCAAAAGAATATGAACACATGAGGAGGATTATGCCGGAGCTGATTTTTATACCTTAATTTAATTATGCAAGTACCTGATTATGTTTTAAAACAGAAAAAGGTTAAATTTTTTGTTCAAGTTTAATTTATTGCAAGAAACAAACGACTAAAAGACTAATAAAGGAAAGGGGAAGCACCAGGAAGCACAAACAAACAAGTCGACAAACGTCACTCACGCGTCACGTCAATCAAATCAACTTTTTATTGTAATATTCTCCCATTAAAGACAGGCAAAGGATATCAAGTCCATAAGCTAATAAATATTTTTATTATTTTGCTGAATTAGAATGCGGATAAAATGAATTAAAATATATTTTGAAGTATTTGGCATAGTATTTATCATGTCTGATTAGTCAATATTAATTTCTGTAAGGCAGCAAGCACTTCATTAGGGTTTTCACGTCTACTTGACTGAATTGCCTAATACTGCAAGTAACGCAACAAAGTCAATGCAATGCATTGTAATGAAAAACAAAGTAAAGATGAGGATGCGGCTTCATATAAGACTATATTCTCATGGTATCCTTTGCTTTCCCAATAAGGCAAAACAAAAAAATACTACATCAACAATGATGCGTGGCGCCATTTTTAAAACTTGTTTGATCGATGTGTTTATAATTTTAACCCTCTAGATGTGAAATCATGAACAATATAAATATATCTACCACGATTGAAGGAACTGAAAGCACTTTACAGAAACAAGCGAAGAAATTAGCAAAACTGAGAAATAAAGAGACTTTTAGAAGACCCACCCATTTATTTATGCATGAAAAATGTCTGACAAAAATTGTAAGTTTTACAAGTAACACAGCAGCTTCCGCTCGCGACTTCATCCGCATTATGCGGGACAAAAGTATTCCATATTATTTCAGTCCAGGTAATTAACTAAGTGTGCCAAATTTCATTCAAAACCACTCAACCGTTATTGGGGCTCGCACCCAAATATTAATGTTTCGGGAATGCAACTGTTTATACGAAGGTATGTAAACATTGGAGACCATTCGTATTAAATATGTTTATTGCACTAAAATAATAATATCTGTAAATATTGAGGCGCGCTACGCAGTTCCGCACGGTCATCAAAGAAATTAGGTTAAATACAAAATACTCGTACATGCTCCCGAATTAACAAAAAAGGAAAAAAGCATTAAAAAATGTATATAGGTAAAAATGAAAATGTAAAAGAAATAGGCTTATATAAAGTTCAAAAAAGCATTTTTTTCATAAGTCTAAGTTGTATAGGAGACGTCGTCGCCTTGTTTTGCATCTTCTTCTAGTCCGGAAGTCCGGGAGGTAGCGTTGCATATATATGACGACCTCCGTGGCCGAGTGGTTTGTACGCCGGGTTTCATGGTGTCGCCGACTCGAGAGGTCCCGGGTTCGAATCCCGGTGGGGGCAGATGTTTGTGTGATGAATACGAGCATTTGTACTCCAGTCATGGATGTTTAATATGTAATTCTATATAAATATACTTATATATGTACAGTATATGTATTCTATCCGTTACCCTAGTATCCCATAACACAAGCCTTAATAGTGCTTACTTTGGGGCTAGGTTAATTGGTGTGAGTGTTAGCAATATTTATTTATTTATATGCAAAAGTCATAGTAAGTCGGCTGATATTAACATCGATAGTTGATCTTATATGACTAATTACTAAACCGACCGTCAGCCGACAGACCGACGCAAGTAGTAGTGGGTGTGGGAGGCTGCAAAAGAGGTAAAAAAAAAATTTGACATTGTATGCTAGCTGCAACTTATTTCATAAATAGTTAACATCGTAGTTTAGAAGCATGCGGAGTTTTTAATATTAGCGAGAACCAATGGAAACTCCTTTTTGTACTTCTAAATTGAAGGTGAATGTTTGAGTAAATCCTATTAAAAACTAAAGTTCCAACTTTCAAGCCTTTTTTGAGTAACTTTAAGTTATTGCAGGAAGCTGAGTTATTTTTTTATTAAAACAACATTCAAGACAATTATGTCACAAAAAAAAGACTGTAAATACCTACTACGAAAAAAGATAAGAATTTTTGAAACATCGCTGGCAGAAATCATTAAAAATACACAAAAAAAAATATATCTCGAAAACTAAGAAAAATCGCGGAACATACATGGGGTATTTTCGGATACATCCAGGTGCGAGGAATCTAAAAAAAATGTTGACGTCACTAGTTGGACCACCCTGTATAGAAATAGATATTAAACATCCATAACTGGAGTACATATCCTCGTATACATCACACAAACATCTACCCCCACCGGGATTCGAACCCGGGACCTCTCGAGTCGGCGACACCGTGAAACCCGCAGAACAAACGGCTCGGCCACGGAGGTCGTCAAACCGATAAATCAATATTTCTTTTTCTAGCCCAAACCGAAGAACTCAAATCATTTGATATACGCTTACTATCACAACAACCATATTACAAAGATCGAAAATCTGGATTTGCTCTATAACGTAACACATTTACATTTACAATGGAATAAAATTACAAAAATTGAAGGATTAGAAAATCTTTACAACCTGAAGAAATTGTACTTGGGAAACAACTGCATCAGTGTCGTTGAAAATTTGGAAGGCTTGAAATATTTGGAGGAATTACACATTGAAAAGCAAAATATGGACAACGCTGACGGCCTCTGTTTTGACCCTCGGACCATGGTCTCAATTGGGGTGAGTGCGCAGTTATGGATTTATTTTTATTTTAATGCTTTACCTATTATTGGGCCTTTGGGCTGGCTCTGAGAATGGCGTTTGGGTTGGCCCGAACAAAGCCCTATTCAACGACGAGGTCACACTTGTCGATATCTACTTTAACAGCAGCCTTCGTAGCATGAGCACTACAATTTACATAATATCACGTTTTTTTATCGCGTCTTACTGTCAAACTCCTTAGTTATTTGACAATTGAGCGCGATAAAAACGTGTACGTTTTTATTTATTTTTTAAGCATTTAACTGCTAGATGTTTAAATCTAAAGAAAAGTTTACTAGAAAAAAAAAATCCACGCGGACCAGGCAGCGGACGGGACTCGAACCCGCATCCTTCGCAATCCGGGCGAATGCACTGACCATTATGCTACCACGGCCCTATTCGCCGCGTCGAAATTTTCCCAGCCTTAAGCTGCAAGGCAGCGCCATCTCTTCGCATTGTAGGTAACCCACAATGTCAAATGAATACTTTTTCAAGTATTAAACATTTGAAAGAAGAAATAGCAATTATAGTTATGTTTTTATTTATTTTTTAAGCATTTAACTGCTAGATGTTTAAATCTAAAGAAAAGTTTACTAGAAAAAAATCCACGCGGACCAGGCAGCGGACGGGACTCGAACCCGCATCCTTCGCAATCCGGGCGAATGCACTGACCATTATGCTACCACGGCCCTATTCGCCGCGTCGAAATTTTCCCAGCCTTAAGCTGCAAGGCAGCGCCATCTCTTCGCATGCGGGTTCGAGTCCCGTCCGCTGCCTGGTCCGCGTGGATTTTTTTCTAGTAAACTTTTCTTTAGATAAAAACGTGTACGTTTTAACATGTACATCACGCACAATGCCCAATTATGCTGATGCTTAATTGGAACGTGAATTAGTTTTCAAATGCACCAGCAGAGTGCGCTAAGTTCAGTGTTGAAAAAAAAAACTATTTAATGAAACGAAAGCTTTAATAATTTTTCAACAATAAATAATATTACTAACGATAACATATAAATAAAACATTTCGATCAATGCCAACTTAAAGAAAAAACACTTGTTAATTTTCTGTCTCTAAGTTGGTACGATTGCACGCATCACACGAAAGCATCACTTTTGAGAATGCTCAATTGTGCGAAGCGTTGCTGTAGTTGGAACTAGGGTTGCAACGATATATCGGAATATCGATATTATCGATAATATCGAGACCAAAATATCGATATTTATATCGATATTCAAAATTCACTGATATCGATAATATCGATATCGGAAATTCCAAAATATCGATATTTAGTAGACTTAATTTGAAAACAATAATATCAATTAATTTACCTGCTATGACTATCTAAATTGAATAATATCGAAATAACTATTGCTTTGAAATTGCAAGAACTTATAGATGTATCAAAAATATCTTGAACCCCAAGAAATATACTGAACTGGTGTGGACTCTGGCATGTTTCTCTAAACCTAAAATTAAATTTGACAACAGTGTATCCTTGTCATTCTCTATACAGAATGAAAAGGAGAGACTGATGTTAAATTTAGTTTTAAATTTAGATAATCATGCCAGAATCGACACCAACGTATATAGGTATAATCGTATACCTAATGGTAACTCATGCACTTAAATAAAATCCTTGCCTCTCTTTCTAGAAAATTTTCAACTACTGATTAATTGAAATTTAATATCATTGTAATATAACACAAAATAAAATTAAGAATGTTATACAAATCGTAATTTTTTTAAGCTCGCCACGTCAAGAAAGTAATATAGGTATAGTAATTTTGGAAGCTTTGGGCTTACCCTATTCTGAAGCCTGATGTGTAGGTTTTACTAATTCATAACAATTGTTTTTCATATGATTATCTATTCTGATTTTGGCTACGTGCAAATATTTTAAACAAAATAAATATCTTTGATTCGAAATTGCTTTTGATTTGATACTTCTTACAGCGCTATAAAAAATATAGAAAATATCGTGTTGGAAATGTTGGAATGGCTGACATATCTGATCGGATATCGATATTTACCTGCCCACATTATAAATAGCGATATTTCGGAAACCTTTGCTTCCTTAATTTTAGGCTTTTGCTTTGCAAACTTAATACAAAGCAAAAAAAAGAAAAAAATATCGATATATCGATAATATCGAGTTAAAATGGTCGATATATCGGATATCGATATTTGCCTGACTTCGATATAAATATCGATATAAATATCGATATTTCAAAAGACTTTGCATCCCTAGTTGGAACACTCAACGATAACATTATGCCGCATAATGCGCTATAATGCTGTAATTGAAAAGCAACCGATATGTGAGAATATGGCGTCTCACTGGTGTGTGAACCAGTGAGACGCCATATTCTCCAGAGATACGTTTTTCGTGGCAACTTGAAAATAAAGTTTTTGTTTTGGTTTTTTACCGAAATACACAACATAATGATTAGGGTTGCAACGATATATCGGAATATCGATATTATCGATAATATCGAGACCAAAATATCGATATTTATATCGATATTTAAAATTCACTGATATCGATAATATCGATATCGGAAATTCCAAAATATCGATATTTCGTAGACTTAATTTGAACACAATAATATCAATTAATTTACCTGCTATGACTATCTAAATTGAATAATATCGAAATAACTATTGCTTTGAAATTGCAAGAGCTTATAGATGTATTAAAAAAATCTTGAACCCCAAGAAATATACTAAACTAGTGTGGACTCTGGCATGTTTCTCTAAACCTAAAATTAAATTTGACAACAGTGTATCCTTGTCATTCTCTATACAGAATGAAAAGGAGAGACTGATGTTAAATTTAGATAATCATGCCAGAATCGACATCAACGTATATAGGTATAATCGTATACCTAATGGTAACTCATGCACTTAAATAAAATCCTTGCCTCTCTTTCTAGATAATTGTCAACTACTGATTAATTGAAATTTAATATCATTGTAATATAATACAAAATAAAATTAAGAATCTTATACAAGTCGTAAATTTTTTAAGCTCGCCAAGTCAAGAAAGTAAGATAGGTATAGTAATTTTGGAAGCTTTATGCTTACCCTATTCTGAAGCCTGATGTGTAGGTTTTACTAATTCATAACAATTGTTTTTCATATGATTATCTATTCTGATTTTGGCTGCGTGCAAATATTTTAAACAAAATAAATATCTTTGATTCGAAATTGCTTTTGATTTGATACTTCTTACAGCGCTATAAAAAATATAGAAAATATCGTGTTGGAAATGTTGGAATGGCTGACATATCTGATCGGATATCGATATTTACCTGCCCACATTATAAATATCGATATTTCGGAAACCTTTGCTTCCTTAATTTTAGGTTTTTGCTTTGCAAACTTAATACAAAGCAAAAAAAAGAAAAAAATATCGATATATCGATAATATCGAGTTAAAATGGTCGATATATCGGATATCGATATTTGCCTGACTTCGATATAAATATCGATATAAATATCGATATTTCAAAAGACTTTGCATCCCTAATCACGGTGCTCATTAGTAGCCTGGGGTACCGGTATTCCCCTGGCGCCGGTGGCCTACCGGAGCGCATGGCCGCTAGTGGCTGGGAAATGCTGGGCATTTCACATGCTGGGTTGACTGGATACCAGCTTCTCCAGGCATGACAAAACGCATTGTTGTGCTGCAGATGACATGATTTATTAACTAATTAATGAACAAGTTATATCATTAGCGTTGGCCTTTCTATTTTTTTGTGGCACCGAATTTCTATGTCGCCTGCCGGAGTTGGCTGAAAATAATTTTTATTTTGCACTTCAAAAATTGGCGACGACACGATCATTAAGTGTGTGCAAATACTGCAACTCCAATTCACAGGGCCGTATTTAGATGCGTGGTGGCCCCGGTGAACGAAAAAGTGGAGGTCCCTAGACGAGGGTGTATTTTAAAATATGCCCGCCATTTGCATCCCCTCCTCACCCTGATTGGTGACTTATTTACGTTATTTTTTATCTCTGTTGTGGGGACCCCTTTGCCACAGTCCCGCAGCAATCTGGCCCTGCGCATTCTAAAAGCGTTACTTTTTAGCGTCACAAGTTCCTTATACAAAGATTTATTGCAGGCTTCATTGCGCATAATAAACGTATCAGAAAATAAAATCACAGACATGGCTTGGGCCAGACCTCTGAGAAGACTGGAAGTCCTCATCGCTAAAAAAAATAACTTGGAAGACTATCAGGTATTTTGATGGTTTCATAATCGAACTGCGTGATGTTGTGTGAAAAATTAATTGGCAGGAGCGTATTCACCCTATGGCCAAAAGGCATTCGTTGTCTATATTTTGATGAGTATTGGCCGTTCAATATCTATTTATTTATTGAACGTTAGTTAAAGGTAATCTTAGTTGGTTTTCAATATAATAAATTGCATATTAACTTTGCTAATTTTATTACGCGATGTAAGTAATAAAAGATTGTGGTTTTCATCACGTGATGTATGTACCTAATAAAATAAAGTGATTTTAGGCTGCAGCCGACAACCTCTGCATGATTGTTGGCCTGGTGGACGTGAATTTCATTGGAAACCCTATGACGAGAAAACATAGATATAAAGAAACTATGATTGCAAGATGTGCCCAATTGCGTAAGTTACAAAATATCGCTCTAAAAATAAATGAAAGTATGTAGTACAAATATTGCAAATCTAGCATCCGCGGCCTGCCTCATCATTTATTTTTTACATACATTTCGCAATCTATTCAAATCCTACTGTAGTCATTTGATTTCATTGTTCATTCATATAGTAAAATAAACCAGTCGAGTACCTTTTGTTGCCATTTAAATTGATTTAAACGATATTAACTATGACCGAACTACTTTGATATTTAAGATGTATTTGTAATTATACTGTATGACACAGCAATCTAAATGCAGGTGAACAATTAATGTATAATTTCACATTATGTAATGAAAGGTGACTTCATGAATCATCTCTGAAGTCAGTTTTCAACTTGACGACTCTGTAAACAATAAAACAGGGAGAAAAAAAATAGCCGTTGCTGAGTTTCTTGCCGGTTCTTCTCATTACAAGGTCTTCCACCGTAGATTTACGAACCGATGGCGTAGCTTCTAGACATTCATATGTGCTTGTAACAGCCTAAACTGAATAAATAGTTTTGATTATGATTAATGTTATACTTTTGGCCAGTTCTATTCAAAAGTTTTAAGTAAGTGAACTATTTCTGTCGTAAAAGTGCGTTAAAACTTTTTTTTATATATAATTAGCTATAGAGGTGTCAATTCTGGCGTGATTCTCTAAACTTAAAACTAAATTTAAGGTCAGTCTCACCTTTTCATTCTGTATAGAGAAGGACAAGGATGCACTGTTGTCAAATTTAAGTTTAGATTTAGAGAATCATGCCAGAATCGACATCACTATTGCTCTATAAAGTAGGTATAGCGCATTTAACAAGCCCATACCAAGTAGTATAGCATGGTGTGAACATGGTCTTTATAAATGTATGTTGTGCGATATCATACAACGAGTCAAGTTATATTATAATGTTCAGTGTAGCGTAGTTAAACGCACCTTTATTTTAGAAGTAACTTACCTATTTAATACATTTCCTATCGATTGTGAAAAGCCCCCTAATCATATTTTCATTTAGAATAGATTTTGAATAGAAAACGAACTTTGAACCATGAGTAATTTAAAACTCACGCATGGCAGGTGTACTGGACACCGTTATGATCCATCACACGTCCAAGACTTTCCTTCAAAGTTTCGATAAAGTAGTGAGATTGAGACAACTGCACGAAAGGAATAAGCTAGACATGAACCAACGCGGTGCCGACGAGTTCCTTGAGCTGAATATGCTGCCGGGGCCCAGAGCTCACAGCGCCCTCTCTATATCCGAGTACTCCAATCAGAAGCCGAAGAGTGAGTGTTTTTTTTTTCATTATCACTTCTAGTCGGTGTTCTAATATGTACAGTGGTGGCGATTCTGGCATGATTTTCTAAAGCTAAACTTAGTTTAGTAAATTTAGTTTTAAGTTTAGAGAACCTTGCCAGAATCGACACCAGTACTTTCAAGTTACGGCCGCACTCAAAAGTAGCTGCTGTCACATTTTTTGTGATAGCACTTTGTCCAAATTTAAGCGGCCATAAAATATTTCTCCCCATTGTCCAAATAAAGATATCGTGTCAAAGTAATAGATGAACTGATTAAATCAAGTTGAACATTAAAAACCATTACATAGAGAGCAGTGTACTCGTGGTCTAATCCAACGGTGCAGGTACGAGGCAGACTATGAACTTAATCCCCCGTTTTAAAAAACGAAGAATAAGCTTGGATTAGTTACGCGAAGTTTTATCTCTGTTCGTTGAATTACAAATGGCATTTGAGTGATGTGAAGAAAACACGATGTAATTAGTTTAAGCTAATTCTTCGTTCATAAATGAAGGGGAATAAGTCCATGGGCCAGACATACCCGAGCATTCAACTGTGCGGGTCTGTGGAGGGTATGCCTGCCAGACCAAACCGTAAGAATTACGATTTATGGATTATCTAAAATCTTTAGATCGGGTTTGAGTCTCAACATTCTATTCCACTCGCCTTTTGGCCGAACTACTCCTAAAGTCTGTGCGGAAAGAGAATGGGATTTTGATTGGAGGGCGCTCTAGTGCTTTTCTAGTGCGTATTTGTAAGGTTTTACCCCTTTTAGATATGATTAACTACAAAAAACCGCAAGAAATCACAACAACAAACAAATCCATATCAATACAAATCTTTGACGTTTTACAGATTGCTGGGTTTGATTGCCAAATAATTTTTTTAATGTTCCATTATTCGCCAAGCTCATTCTCTTTCCGCACAGACTACCTGTCGTGTTGTGTTCTGATGTTGTCGTGACCCCTCAGAGAGCTAAGGTTTCATACATTTAGTACGGTTAGAGTGAGAACGGAGTCGACACATCGCGACACACAAGTATAGTTCTAACCGTACCAAATGTATGAAACCGATAGTTCTCTGAACAACACAACACGACACATACTTATATTTCTGCCTTTACGTGTCATTGGTTTCGATTCTGGTATGATTATCTAAACTTAAAACTTGACAAGTGTGTCTTGCTCTTTATAGAATGAAAAGGAGAGACTGACTAATCTTAAATTTAGTATTTTCAGGTTTAGAGAATCATGCCAGAATCGACAACCATTACAGGTATTTCATTTTCATACAGTGACTGCCGTGGATTCTTCGTACACTTTCATGCCGCGTGCCTTCTGGCGATCGAGGCCGGCTCCGTCTCCACGCGAGCCAGTCGGTGTCGCTCCACCCATGGAAGCACCGCCGCCACCAAAACAACCCATAGCAGACCCCTCCGGCCCGCCCATCAAGGGAATATTGAAGAAACCGATGCCTATCAAATATTTGTCTTGAAGTTTTTGTGCCTGTTATTTACCTAAATTTTGAATTATTTCAGTACTATTAATTATTACAGCATTTCAGTTTGTCGAGTACTCAAATAAATATATTATTTTACGTATAGATAAACTGTATTTAATGATTAATGATTAGTGCGGTTGAGCCAGTTGGCGTCGTTCCAACCATGGAACCTCCACCGCAGCCCAAAGAACCCCTTCGGTCCGAGCCCATCAAGGGAATTTTGAAGACACCGATGCCTACCCATCAGATACTTGTCGCAAAGTGTTTGTGCTTGTTAGCTAAATTGAGAAATGTTTTGGTTGTGAAATAAGTATCGAATAAATATTTCTTTTTATTTAAAGATAGACTGGGAACTTAATATACTTTTTTAGACCCTATAACTAACCACCGCATATTGCTATGCCTTGGCATGCCCCCCTAGCATGCTCCTGCTAGGAGGGCATGGCAATATGCCGCGGTCGTTAAAATATATAGCTCGTTTTTATCACGCGCAATTGTCAAATTACTATGGATTTTGACAGTTAGACGTGATATAATGTAAGTTGTGGACTCATGCTACAGGCCTTTCGGTGCGTCGTTCCTGGCATGATTCTTTAAACCTTAACTTAAATTTGATAGTCTATCGTTGTCATTCTCCATACAGAATAAAATTTATAGACTGGTGTTAAACTTAGTTTAAGTTTAGAGAATCATGCCAGAATCCAAACCACAGTCAACTTAAAACCTACGCCTAGAGTTAGGTAGCTTTCCAATTACAGCATTATAGCGCATTATGCGGCATAATGCTTAACGTTGAGTGTTCAAACTACAGCAACGCTTCGCACAATTGAGCACTACCAAAAGTAATGCTTTCGTTTCATGCGTGCAATCGTACCAACTCAGAGACAGAAAATTAACAAGTATTTTTTCTTTAAGTTGGCATTGATCGAAATGTTTTATTTGTATGTTATCGTTAGTAATATTATTTATTGTTGAAAAATTATTAAAACTTTCGTTTCATCATAGTTTTTTTTAAATAATCAAAGTTAATTCAAACTGCGTTAAAAATTAAATATAAATATGGCTTAAGGTACAAACATTGACTTTTTTTCCAACACTGAACTTAGCGCACTCTGCTGGTGCATTTGAAAACTAATTCACGTTCCAATTAAGTATCAGCATAATTCGGCATTGTGTACCACTGAGTCGCATTATGCTCTGTAATTGGAAAACCACCTTAGCCTCTCCAGATTAAGGTAGCTTTCCAATTACAGCATTATAGCGCATTATGCGGCATAATGCTTAACGTTGAGTGTTCCAACTACAGCAACGCTTCGCACAATTGAGCACTCTCAAAAGTGATGCTTTCGTGTGATGCGTGCAATCGTACCAACTCAGAGACAGAAAATTAACAAGTGTTTTTCTTTAAGTTGGCATTGATCGAAATGTGTTATTTATATGTTATCGTTAGTAATATTATTTATTGTTGAAAAATTATTAAAGCTTTCGTTTCATTAAATAGTTTTTTTTAAATAATCAAAGTTCATTTAAACTGATAAAAAATAAATATAAGTATGGATGAAGGTACAAACATTGACTTTTTTTTTCAACACTGAACTTAGCGCACTCTGCTGGTGCATTTGAAAACTAATTCACGTTCCAATTAAGCATCAGCATAATTCAGCATTGTGCGGCACTGAGTCGCATTATGCTCTGTAATTGGAAAGCAACCTAATGCTGCGCACTTATAAGGGCGTTTAAGCGCCTCTACCTAAATTATTCGGACAATATCGACCCTACGATAACAATAGGTTTGGACCTCCAGGGAAGTGGACGTTCAGGGAAATGGGCTTTCAGGGTAGTGGACGTTCAGGGAAATAGACTTTTAGGGAAGTGGACCTTCAGGGAAATAGATTTCAGGGAACTGCTCGTTCATGATGTAATAGACCTAATGAACCGACTTAACATGCCGGTAATAGGACCTAACGTGCCGAATGGGAGACGAAGACCCATAGCTATGCAGATATTTTCTTTTGTCATGGGAGAATTTAAAAATAAAATCAGCCCAATTTCAATGTCATTGTCAAATACGATTTTGAGGTTATGTTGATATAAATATATTGGTTTTCACTAAAATATTTTGTTTTGGAATTATTATGACTAAAAGTCCTTAATATGAGTCGTAAAATTATCGAAGCGTTCAAAGTTCTAAATGAAGAGACTGGTGGTACGTAAAGTTTCATTTGTATATTATTAATAAATATATTTTGTGTTTTGTGACTTTGTTTAAGTTCGTCTTTATTCAACTTTATAGCTCTTTATCTTGATGCTGAAGTGACTCAAATCAATGAATTGGATCCACTCGAATTCCAAAGAGATTATGTATCGAAGAATTTGCCTGTAATAATCAGGGGCGGTTGTGCGGGCTGGCCTGCCACTAAGAAATGGAACACTCAATACTTTAGGTAAACACTACTCAATATTTAAGGTGTTTAGCCTCTTAACCTGAGAATTAAATATTTTCTCAAGAACAAGCTATGTGCCAAATATTACTAAAATTCCCTAATCAGTCATACTGAGGTATGTATGTATAATGATGTCCTCAAGAATATAAAACATAAATTAACCACATTAAACACCTGGGGGCCATTCGCCGGCTCAGCTTTCCATTATATGTAATTGAGTTGCAAGCTGAAATTTTTGTCACGCAAAGTATTAACTATTAAAAACACGTACACAAAATCTTTTTAGGCCGAAACAGGTACTTAATTCCATTATATGTAATCGAATTTTGGGGTAATTTGTAGGGGAGGGGGAGGGGGGGCTCTCCCCGACAACCCCGCCATAAAAGATTTTTGGCGGAAATGCAGTTTTTTTTTTACCTAACCTAAAAATTCATTAAATCTGTTAAATGTAGTGGAATTTCAGGGGGATAGGTATAAGGGAAGACTCCTCAGAGGGAAGGGTAACCCCCCCCCCCTCCCGGCGTTTTTTTTTACAGAAATGATATTTATAAAAAATTAGAGGGGTTTTAAAGGTAAAACTGTACTTCCAGGGCCTAGATTTTTTTGTAGAAAGAGTCTCTATTAACGAATTTTTCTTTCTGGCGCTTCGCCGGCCGCTCCCGCGGCACGCTCGCTTCGCTCGCTCGGCTCGCGCGTTAAGGTCACAACACTAACCTAACCTAACCTAGTGTGAAGTATCACCACACAAGCGGCTCATTAGAGTCCAAAACTCGCACTACACTCGACTCTCCAGGCGAAGAGACAGCAGAACTCGAGGCCGAAGGCTTTGAGGATGCCATGGTAGTCAGACGATGTTAATATCAACAGGAGTACGAAAAAGCTCTCAATTGTGACGAACACAAACACTGACTGTGTTGCTGTATGTGTTGCATTTTTTTATGCAAAAATAACATGTTTCTCGTTTTCTATGGTAAATATAAGTTTATTATGTTGGTACTATTGTCAAAATGTGACAATTTACCGCATTAATGAGATCTGTCAGTCAGTGTTTGTGTTTGTCGCAGTTGAGAGCTGTTTCGTACTCCTGTTGATATTAACATCGTCTGACTACCATGGCATCCTCAAACCCTTCAGCCTCGAGTTCTGCTGTCCCTTCGCCTTAAGAGTTGAGTGTAGTGCGAGTTTTGGACTCTAATGAGCCGCTTGTGTGGTGATACTTAACACTAGGTTAGGTTAGGTTAGTGTTGTGACCTTAACGCGCGAGCCAAGCGAGCGAAGCGAGCGTGCCGCGGCAGCGGCCGGCGAAGCGCCAGAAAGAAAAATTCGTTAATAGAGACTTTCTACAAAAAAATCAAATATCACCTCTAGGCCCTGGAAGTACAGTTTTACCTTTAAAACCCCTCTAATTTTTTATAATTATCATTTCTGTAAAAAAAACGCCGGGAGGGGAGGGGTTACCCTTCCCTCTGAGGGGTCTTCCCTAATACCTATCCCCCTGAAATTCCACTACATTTAAAAGATTTAATGAATTTTTAGGTTAGGTAAAAAATAAAAAACTGCATTTCAGCCAAAAAACTTTTATGGCGGGGGGGTCGGGGGGAGCCCCCCCTCCCCCTCCCCTACAAATTACACCGAAATTCAATTACATATAATGGAATTAAGTACCCATTCGCCTAACGGAAATGCTTTGGAAAAAGCTAACGCTTACGATTTCATTTTGTTATTTCAAGCCGCCAGAGGTTTTTAAATGCCTCGCGCTCTTTTTTTTTCTTTTGCATTGGTAATAACAATATTAAAAAAAATGAGCATGAGGTATTTGAAAACCTTCGGCGGTCAGAAATAACAAAATAAAATCAAAAGCGTTAGCGTTTTCCCAAGCATTTCCATTAGGCAAATGGCCCCCTGATGTAAAAAATACGCAACAATAAGTTGAGTGTTCTTTATAATCACATCTTTAAGGAATTTAATTGCTAGTTATATTTATAAGTTCAAAAATTTTTGAATTTTATAATATTTTCCTTTATTAGCTTTGACTAAGTTAAAATTTACAAAAAAAACCCTAGTTTTTCATGTATTATCGAATATTCATTGATTTTTTCAGAGAGAAGATCCCTAATAGGAAATTAACAGTTGCATTAACACCAAATGGCTTAGCCGATGGAATAACAACAGATAACAGTGGAGTAGAGTGCTTCGTTATGCCCTTCGAAACTGAAATGACGATGGCAGAATTTTTAGATTGCTTAGCACAGAAAAGGTACTTAAAACTTCTAAAAATTCAGTTTTCTAATATATCTCCTGTTTTGCCTACAATAATAATAAATTTTTATTCATGCGATAATACATATAAAGTACAAAATGTACAGTTGTTAAAGATATGTGACAAAAAGTACTGTTTTTTTTTATTTTTTTTACAAAAGGCAGTTGTCATATAATGGAAAGTACCCTAGATAGGCTATGAATATAGCCTGTGTTTAGGGATTCCATTGTGTCCTTCCAATGGGTTCCTTAAGATGACATGTATATACGTCTATGTTTGCTTTAAATTGTTTTGGTATTCTATTGTTTAATATGATGAGAATTAAACAGCTTAATTTAACGGATTACACAATTAAGAAATTTTACAAGAAATAAATTTGTGCTTACAGATGGCAAAGATCATTGTTTTAGTATATAACTATGATTTAGTATACTTTGGTTTGTATTTCAGACCAGGCATGATACCTTACATCCAAAAACAGAACTCAAACTTGATAGAAGAATTTACGGAACTCGTGGATGATGTGAAAAGGGAAATCCCATTTGCCACTGCGGCATTTAATAAATCACCAGACGCCGTCAACTTCTGGATGGGGGACGAGAGAGCAGTCACATCTAGTTAGTATCGGCAGGTATAATAATAATAACACATTTTACAAACCAAAATTAAATATAACGGCCAATACTTTATTAAATCATCCAGCAATAGTATATATATATATTATTATGTTGTTCCATTTTATTGAACTTTGATAAAGTTATTGAATCTAAAGAAAATATAACTAGAAAAAATTCTACGTAGACCAGGCAGCAGACGGGACTCGAACCCGCACCTTCGCAACCCGGGCGAATGCACTGACCAAACCCTAAAAAAAGAAGAAAAATTATAAACTTATTGAATTTCAAAAAGCCTAGTAAAGACTTAACCTTCAGTCATTTAAGAACATACTAAGCTATTCTATCAGTCAATCATATTATAAAGCTCCCTGTTAATCCATTCTAATGTTATTACATATTGGGTTTGTTATGCATATAATATTACTAGCTGACCCAGCGAACTTCATACCACCATAAAAATAGGGACTGGTGTTAGAAGGGTGAAAACTTAGGGTTGTATGTATTTTTTAATGCAACCAAAATTGTTCGAAAAATTAAATACATATTAGCTGAAAAATTCATATAAAATTTCATAAAAATCAGTCAAGCCGTTTTGGAGGAGTACGGTAACTAACATTGTGACACAAATATTTTATATATAATATGTTATATTGTAGGACCCTGTATTGGGATTTAACACAAAGGTTATTATAATTATAAATCCAACAAATGTTACCCTTTAATGATATTGATATCATTCACTCATTATTTTTGTTTTCTTCTTAATTCATACCTAGGAAAAGTGCCCCAACTGTTATTAAGAGAACATAAAATAAGTTGGTGATGATACATTTTGTGGTGTATGAATTTTGACTTGTACCATATCCAAACCGAATAATTAGAGTTAAATCTGATTTTCCTCTTATTATTCCAATTCTACAGAACATCCAGGCTTCATTTAAGCCTTAATCCTGAATAGTTTCTCTTCAAATTTATCTATAATATTAGATATATATATTAAAAACCATTACTAAATATGATAAAACGCAAAATAGGAAAAATGAAAATAATTTTCTCAACCCCTGGCAGAAATCATCCACTTACACAGGCAAGGGGATGTCAACAAAACATCATCATCATCAGTCTATTAATGTCCCCACTGCTGGGGCACAGGCCGTCCCTATGGATGGAATAGGGATATCGGGCCATGACCCACCACGCGGGCCCAGTGCGAATTGGTGGGTGCTTACAACTGCTGATGCAGCCGGGACCATCAAAACATACCTCTCCACTAAAGCATGACCAAGGGGCACTTCCTCCATCATGTCTTTACGAACTGATCTTGCATCTTAATATATCACATGGCGACCCTACAACACCTACGATATTACAATCTAATTAAGTATTTACTTGATAATGTTCAAGATAGCTTGCTATGTAGGTGTTTAAAATTATAAAATACTAGCTGTGCCCCGCGGTGTTAACCGCTGTTTATTAGGGATATTTTCGCACAGTAAAACGTAGCCTATGTCATTGTGTTAATCCAGGGTGTCAGCTAACTCTATAACAAATTTTATTTAAATTGCCACAGCCGTTTAGACGTGAAGAAGTAACAAACATACACACTCACAAACTTTCGCCTTTATAATATTGGTGTGATTTAATTTTCAGTGCACAAAGACCCGTATGAGAACATTTACTGTGTCATAGATGGCTATAAAGACTTCATTCTGATCCCACCCACTGATTTGCCATTTGTTCCGTACAAGAGGTATCCTCAAGCAGAGTTCAAACTCACCAAAGGCCAATGGGAAATCGTCCCAGTGGAGAAGGAAGTCGATGGAAGTGTTACTGAAGAGGAGCAGCTTGAACAAGCTTTGTTACCATGGATTTGTATAGGTAAGTTTAATTGTTTTAATATGTATCCTCATCACCTCATCACCAGCCTAATAATGTCCCCGCTGTTGGGGCACAGGCTTCCTTATGGATGGAATAGGGAGATTACGCTATGACCCACCATGCGAATTGGTGGGTGCTAACGACTGTAGATGCAGCCGGGACCAACGGCTTAACGTGCCTTCCGAAGCACGGAGGAGCTCTAAATAATAAGTTTTGGTCACCCATCCAATAAGCGACCAATGCAAAAGATGGTTAACTTCCACGATAGCAGGCTGAACGCGTTATCCACCTGCGCCTTTGAGCTCCTCTAATAACATTAGAATGTTTAAATTCAATCAGTATATTGTATTAAATTTTCAATCACTACAGTAATGATGAGATGATGAATGATGAGGAGCTTGATGGCGCAGGTGGTTAGCGCGTTCGGCTGCGATCGTTGAAGTTAAGCAACTTTCGAAGTGGTCGGTCATTGGATGGGTGACCAAAAATCTGCTATTTCGATTTCCTCCGTGCTTCGGAAGGTACGTTAAGCCATTGGTCCCGGCTGTAACTGCAGTCGTTAGCACCTACCTACCCATCCATCCGCACTGGGACCGCGTGGTGGTTGGTCATAGCCCAATCTCCCTATTCCATCCATAGGGCAGGCCTGTGCCCCAGCAGTGGGGATATTAATAGGCAATGCTGATGATGACGACAGTAATGATTTGCTACAGACCATTGAAACTTATAACACTAAGTGGGCCGATAGATGTGTCCCACACCTGTTCAAGCCAAAATGACTCTTAAATCCGAGAGCTTAGGTGCAAAAGAATAGAAATGAAACAAAGGTAGACTTTGTTTAACTATGGATTTAATTTTTAATTTAGTGACGTTTTGCCTATAGCTGAACCAAAGTTACTAGCGCGATCAACGATGTGATGAAATGTGTCCCAATCAAGAAGTGCTTGAACTCCATTCAAGCACTTCTTGGTTCACAGTCACGCGCGGACCGTTACAAAGTCAAGATGCCACAGAGCTCCGCGAAAAAATGCGAAAATAATACTTAGAGTACGAAAAGTGTCGTTTTTTCAACAGGTATCTAGTCAATGTTTGTTAATTTAACGTATTTGAAGTAAATTTCGATCTAATACTTACTATAAACTGATTTAATATAAAATATTTGTGATATTCTAATGCATGGTCGGTTATACGTCGCCATATAGCCGTCTTTTTCTTCGCGGTCCGTGCCTGCTATATTGCTAATAGCGCGTTCAGAATTGCGCGTAGAGTCAAAGAACTAAGGTCTAAATTCTTCCGCATATAGCAATAAGTCGTAAAATTTTACGAGCTTGCATTTCGAACTGTAAGAAGTCCTTGACGCATGCGTTTTATTTAAGACCTTATACAGTGTATATTAAAAGTCACTTTCAATATTTAAATAATCCCTTATATTGATTTTGACTACGCGATCATCTTACGGAGCTCCGTGGCTCGTTCAATGTACCTTTTGGACAGGTTTCGGGCACGATTTTGTTCGTGTTGGTGTATCTATGGTATTTAATATCGTTGAGCGCGATGCAAAGATTTACAGCGCCAACTATTTTCGTGCATATGAACTACAATTTCCAAGTTTGTTTTAATAGTCGAACATTGTTTATTTCCTATTTGTTATTTATTGCTCTTATAATTAGGTAGGTAATTTCTTATAAACTATACATGCACAAATACAACTCCATTTAAATTCAATATTTAATTACCCTCAGATCCAGTTCATCCCGATTACACTAAACATCCGGGCTTCAAGAAAGCCCACAAATACCACATACGTGTTGGGAAAGGCGATTGCCTATACTTGCCCAGCTTGTGGTTCCATCACGTAAGACAAAGCCACGGCTGTATCGCAATCAACTATTGGTACGACATGGAGTTTGATGTCAAATACTGCTACTTTAAAATGCTGGAGAAACTTTGCGGAATGTATTGATGGAAACTGATATTCTACGTGTTCGGATTGTACTCCTACTTTGAGATATTGGAGAAATGATAAACTTTGGAATATATTGACGGGAGCGAGTTCTACTGTAGTTTTGGTAAAGGTTGTTTGTGGACTGTAAATCCGTAGATCGCTGGTTGGATCCGGCTCGAAGGACCATTTTTATGTAATGCAGAGCTGACCACGCTAACACAGTACGCCATTAAATTATGAGATGAGATTAAAAGTTAAGTTCTAAGTTCTGTAGAGTTTGAAGGAAATCCAGTTTGAAATATTACTTATTTATTGCTTGGTTAGATGGTTACAGTAACACAGTTATTTTTCTACCAAAAGAAAATACAATTTATTTACATAATAAAAGTAGGTTATGTTATAAAGAAAATTTTACTAAAAAAAATTTCAAGTGGTCCAGGCAGCAGAGGGGACTCGAACTCGCACCCTTCGCTTTCCGGGCGAATGCACTGACCATTATGCCACCGCGGCCCTGATGACCGTGTCGAATTTTCTCTATCCATTCTGAGGCTGCAAGGCAGCGCCATCTCTTCGCATTGTAGGTAACCCACAATGTCACATGAATACCTTTACAAGTGTTAAGCATTTGAAAGAAGAAATAGCCATCATATAAAATATAAAACTATGTTATTTGTTTCTTAGGTTTTCACGCACATCACTCATTAAATAAAACTAGTTTTTACGGGTTAATGCACGAAACTTTATTTATTTATTGACGTTTCGCAGCCTTTTCAGGTCTGCATCGTCAGAATAATGATTTTTTATTTAAAATTGTCGAGCTACCATATAAGTCTTTCGAAGGTAGCTCGACAATTTTAAATAAAAAATCATTATTCTGACGATGCAGACCTGAAAAGGCTGCGAAACGTCAATAAGTAAATAAAGTTTCGTGCATTAACCCGTATAACTATGTTATTTTTTATTATTATTTCCGGTATCGCTCTCGATCACTATCATCGAGACTGCTGAGCTTGCATTTTACACGTAAAGTGCGATGGAAACTATGCAAATACTTTTTATCAGTTTCACCCTTAAACACTGCTTTTTAAGACGTTCGATAAATTGTGGAATGTATTGGTGGAAACTAAGATGCTCGAAAGACTTTGTGGAAGGTATTAATGGAAATTTGGATACTGGAAAATCTTTATGGAATGTATTAATGGAAATTTGGATACTGGAAAATCTTTATGGAATGCATTAATGGAAATTTGGATACTGGAAAATCTTTATGGAATGTATTAATGGAAATTTGGATACTGGAAAATCTTTATGGAATGCATTAATGGAAATTTGGATACTGGAAAATCTTTATGGAATGTATTAATGGAAATTTGGATACTGGAAAATCTTTGTGGAATGTATTGATGGAAACTGAGTACTTATTCAAACAGGATTGTGGTTCTGGTGAGTTACTATCAGTTTTTCCTAAGCTACCTGCTGCTATTTTAAAATGCTAAAGAAACTATAGAATGTATTAAAACCTAACTGCTACATTTCTAATAATGAATATGTAGGTGTTTAAGCTCGAAGCTTTAATTATAAAGTTTTTTTACTAGAAAAAATCCACGCGGACCAGGCAGCAGACGGGACTCGAACTCGCACCCTTCGCAATCCGGGCGCACTGACCATCAAGACTGAATTGCAGTCTAAGAAAAACTTCGGGCCGCGGTAGCAGAATGGTCAGTGCATTCGCCCGGATTGCGAAGGGTGCGGGTTCGAGACCCGTCTGCTGCCTGGTCCGCGTGGATATTTTTACAAAAAAAAATCTTTACATTTAGAGATGTAACATTTTATGCTTAGAAAGTAATATTAATATAGCTTTAATTATTTTTATTAATAGAAAAAAAATACAGTGTTGGGCAACAAGCTTGCCCTATGGCCTGAATCAATGGCTAAAATATAGCAAACGGCCTAATATAGATGAGAAGTTTATTTATAACACAAGCCTTATAGTGCTTACTTTGGGACTATGCTAATTGGGGTAAATGTTGGAAATATTCATTCATTTGCAATGCGGTACAGAAAGTTAGTATAGTGTGTATAGTATATAGTACATATTATTATATAGTGTATAGCCCTACCTACCTACCAAAGGGATATTAAGATGAGAAAAAAATGGTGGATTGTATTCTCTTCTTTCTTATTATTTTTGTCTCTATGTCAAAGAAGTTATGATATACAGTTTACATGCATTATAATATGTATGATGATTATAAATATCATAATGTTTCTACGAGAACTGTGCCGACATACTACGTTGCAGTTTGGCAGATATTATGTAATATTTTATGTAATTTTTTGCTGAATAAATAAATAACAATTAAATCAATAAAACATTTGTTTAAGTCAAGTATTGCACAAAAACATTGTTATCGATTTCCTATCCATAGCGCAATAGGTTATAATAGATTTTTTTAGATATAAGTGAATTAATATCTGCTTCAATAACCTCCTCCTACTAAATATCTTAAGTATTAAAGTTCTTTATAGCACAGTGTGACCTAAACTCGCACTTTACGCACGCTTTTCCGTGACCTAAGTTGCCTATTTCTGCACGGTGTGTAAATGAATTGACCAACTTCACTCATGTAGAAAAAATAAAAGGAAACACATTTAAATGTCATTTGGAGCTTAAAAACTCACAGCAAACAAATGACAAATTAGCGATAGGTTAGGTTATTTTGTTGTAATGATATTTGAAATATACTTTCAAAATGGTAATCTGAACCGAAATTCTTTCTTTTCAGAGTTTGACTTGCAGTCTGTATTGCAATTCTTTGTGATTGCAATACATGAATACTTTCAAAACAAAAATGATCGCATCCCTCGGGGGGGCCTTCGGCTCCCCCCCCCCCCCCCCTCTTGCCCGCGTCCGGGGCGGGTTTATGTCACACTTGCTATAAAATAGTATACGATACTTGTGGCCTAAGTTGTCTATTACTGCACGGCGTGAAGTAGGCAACTTAGGTCACGCGTATCGTAATGTACTATTTCTACTAGGGATGATAATCGATAGCAAATTAATCGATTATTTCTGCAGTGTTTACAAGTAATCGATTAATTGCACTTATGATATCGATTAATCGAAGAAAAATTCATCATTCATTCAAGTAAGAAAATAAATGTTCCGCCGAAATACAAAATAAAATACACAGACATTAATTACAAATAAAAGAATTAAAAATTTAAAATATGAATGTTTATTTAATCACTAACATTTTTATTGAGATTCATCTATGGATGACAGAAAAATTAACATCGAAAGATAAGAACCAGTCAATCTGTTTCTCATGTAGGTGTCGATTTGCCCAGCTTCTGAAAATAGTCTTACAGAAGGCACAGACGTGAAAATGATTGATAAATGTCTTATTGCCACTCTATAAATATTTGGATATTGGTTTTTAATAGTACTCTAGGCTATGTAAGGGTTTTGTTTTTGGGATTTATTTCTATGTAGGTACTTAACATAATTTCCGACACAATGTAATATTGTTTTTATGGAATAAATGACTAATGACTATGGTCTTTTGCCACCATGAACATTTTGTTCCAGTTTGACACCTAGAAAAAACATACGTAGCTTCAACTGCATAAACGTTATGCATTATTACATATAGACAGAGATGGTTTTAAAGACTAAAAAAACAGTGGGTATTGTATGGACAAAGCTGTCGGCTGTCGAAGCTTGTTATGATGATTTTTGAGGCGTGTTTCATCTTTAGGCATTATTAATGTATGAACTGACAAGATCATAATGAAGGTCATTGCAAATCGATTAATCGATGTAAAATAATCGATTACATCGATTATTTTAATTTATAGATTAATCGATTAATGAGCAAAATTTTACAAACGATTAACCGATTAATTGAATCGATGTCGAACATCCCTATTTTCTACAAACTTTTGACTTATTCATGTTTATAGTTAGGTTTGCTAATTTTAATCGATTAAATACCTCTTTTAAAAGTAATAACTGGTCCGAAAAAGTGGAAGAAATACATATAATATCATCTTGAAAGGCAAAAACTTTATTATAAAACTCTGGGCCGAATAGCATAAAAAAAAGCATTTATTTTGTTATATTGCAATAAGTATTGTAGTGTCAGCATGAACTTGTGATTCTAGAATACCTTGAGTTCAGATTAAACAACTGACACATAGACAAGACAATAGACACATATTTTATTGTTAGCTAAGATTTTTTATATATATGATGTAAATACAAATAAACATTGTTCTAACTTAGCTTAGAGTATAACTTAGTAGGTATAGCTTGGAAAATGTGTATCTTATCTTTAAAATAAATCTAGTCACCTCAGCTCAGGGGTTCTTAAATGGCGACATTGGGTTAAACGTCCTAAATATATTTCAATTTATGGTTAAATGTTAGGTTAGGTTAGGTTAGGTTCATCTAAGTTGTTAAACAACTTAGATGTTCTGAATTTTTCATAGAAACCACAGTTTTCCTAACTTGGCTCAAGGATCAAGATGATTGATTGTGAAATAAAATAATTTCTACTTCTTCTTCTTGCATATAGATAATTATATTTTTGTCTGTTAGATTAAGAAAAAGTTGATGTATTTTTTTAGTGTAAGTTTTTGACTGTAATATTATTACGTCATATTAAGCTGTATGTAACAATGCATTAAAGGTCAATTCAAATCAACAAATCTACTTCAACTAATATTGATTACTTAATCAATTATTTATTATTGTCAATTGAAAATATTTGTGAGGAATTAATAAAATAAAATATTGATGTTTTTGAAAGTATTGTTTATTTATTGCGCGACAACTACAACAAACGGTATTAGTAAATGTGTAATGGTTGCGATCAGTCTGGTTGCTGATTTTCTGCCGAACATTTTGATACTCTGCGAAAGAAAATATTTTTTTGTAGTTCAATTGCAAAATATACTGAAGACAATTTTAAGCAGATAGGTACTGACGCGGAATTTTGCGCTCTGTCAGTTGGCGAACAAAATGCTTTGAACGGTTTTCTACAGTAGTTTTTACTAAATCCGGGCCGCCCGCACAAAAGTAAGACAGAGAGCATTTCATTGATTGAATAATCAATTGAATTGCATTTGTTTTAGTTGCAATTTGTCATCCGCATCGTGATCGCGACAGCGCTATACGAAAAAGTAAGACAGCGATAACTACATGTCTATGAATGAATTTTTACTACGCCGCTACCGCAAGCGATTATGGCAGTATGGCAGAGCGGGTCTTTCCGCGAGTGTACATTATTATTCAGGGATGTTATGAAGCTTCTAATATACAGAGCATCTCACGGGTTTGTCACACGGAGGGAAACTATATTAAATATTGAAGATAGTCAACTCAAATTTCGTGATTCTATGTTATTTAGTAAAAAAATATTCTCATCCTTTCGACGTTTATCATAAAATACATGTGTTTTTTTGTTTCAAATTTCACGAGTTTGATTCCCCCGGTTGTAGCAGGCGATTTTTTAAAAACTGTGAATGCAGTTCTAATTGTTATTTAAAATTTTTAAAAACTGTGAATAGAATTTAATTTTAGAAACTGAATGAAGGCGATGTTTTAAAAACTGTGAATGCAGTTCTAATTGTTATTTAAAATTAGAACTGCATTCACAGTTTTTAAAAAATCGCCTGCTACTACCGGGAATCAAACTGGTGAAATAATTTTTAGTATTTGCAAAAGTATCCGTTTGTATAGTATTATTAGTAATTGATTACATTCAACGCTCCGACCGGTGCCAGCCCAAATTCAAAACCCCGAGCGCTTTCAGCTCGAGCTCCAGAACCACTTCGAGTACCTTGAGAACAGCATAGACTTGGACGATCTGAACGACCTGGTGGTGGATACTGATACGGTAGGGTCTAAACACTTTAAAACCCGCCGGACGAAGCTCAGTAGGAAGACCCGCTATAAGGTGGCCCGACGATCTGGTGAAGGTCGCGGGAAAATGCTGGATGCGGGTAGCGCAGGACCGATCGTTGTGGAGATCCTTGGGGGAGGCCTATGTCCAGCAGTGGGTGTCGTACGGCTGATATGATGATGATGATACGATGATTACATTCCCATCCATGTCCGGTCATGAAATTTCATACCCATAACATACCTGATACTGTTACCGGGGAAAAGACATCGAACAAAAATGGTGTAGTTTGATGAAGCACGATACAAGTTAAACTTTTAAAATCTTCAATAAATAAAAACCCTTTCTCAACCGGGAATCGAACCCGGACCGCCCGCGTCGCGTCCAATTTTCTAATAACAAATAAAAATGAAATGTGCATAATGCTAAAGATAGAACGGAAAAAATTGTGGCGCTGTAAAAAAGGTTCACTTTAAAAACAACAGAAGGACTAAAAATATTTCATCACCAGCCTTTTAATGTCCCACTGCTGGGGAACAGGCCTTCCTTATGGATGGAATAGGGAGATTGGGCCATGACCCAGCACGCGGGCTCAGTGCGGATTGGTAGATGCTAACGACTGCAGATGAAGCTGGGACCAACGACTTATAGTGTCTTCGGAAGCACGGAGGAGCTCGAGATAGGAAATTTTTGGTCACCCATCCAATGACCGACTACTGTAAAAAATGCCTAACTTCAACGATCGCAGCCGAACGCGCTTACCACTTGCGCCATCGAGCCCCTCAGCTCCTCTTTGACTTGTTAAATAAGAGTAAAATGCAACAGGATAGGCTTAGAATTTAGTTCATTTTGCTTAGAATTCAGTTCAGTGTCGCGAGCACACGCGCACTGTGTTGTGTGAGGGCGCACCATAATGTGTGCTAGCTAACTATAGAGGGCGCACCATAATGTGTGCTAGCTAACTATAGAGAGCGCATCATAATGTGTACTAGCTAACTATAGAGGGCGCACCATAATGTGTGCTAGCTAACTATAGAGAGCGCATCATAATGTGTACTAGCTAACTATAGAGGGCGCGCCATAATGTGTACTAGCTAACTATAGAGGGCGCACCATAATGTGTACTAGCTAACTATAGAGGACGCATCATAATGTGTACTAGCTAACTATAGAGGGCGCACCATAATGTGTGCTAGCTAACTATAGAGAGCGCATCATAATGTGTACTAGCTAACTATAGAGGGCGCGCCATAATGTGTACTAGCTAACTATAGAGGGCGCACCATAATGTGTACTAGCTAACTATAGAGGACGCACCATAATGTGTGCTAGCTAACTATAGAGAGCGCATCATAATGTGTACTAGCTAACTATAGAGGGCGCGCCATAATGTGTACTAGCTAACTATAGAGGGCGCGCCATAATGTGTACTAGCTAACTATAGAGGGCGCACCATAATGTGTACTAGCTAACTATAGAGGACGCACCATAATGTGTACTAGCTAACTATAGAGGGCGCACCATAATGTGTACTAGCTAACTATAGAGGACGCACCATAATGTGTACTAGCTAACTATAGAGGGCGCACCATAATGTGTACTAGCTAACTATAGAGGGCGCACCATAATGTGTACTAGCTAACTATAGAGGGCGCACCATAATGTGTACTAGCTAACTATAGAGGACGCACCATAATGTGTACTAGCTAACTATAGAGGGCGCACCATAATGTGTACTAGCTAACTATAGAGGGCGCACCATAATGTGTACTAGCTAACTATAGAGGACGCACCATAATGTGTACTAGCTAACTATAGAGGGCGCACCATAATGTGTACTAGCTAACTATAGAGGGCGCACCATAATGTGTACTAGCTAACTATAGAGGACGCACCATAATGTGTACTAGCTAACTATAGAGGGCGCACCATAATGTGTACTAGCTAACTATAGAAGGCGCACCATAATGTCGGGGTAGAGGTTGGAGCGCGGCGTGTGCAGCGCCCGCTTGCAGTGAGCTTGTCGCGAGCACACGCCCACTGTGTTGTGTGAGACGCACGCGCCGCCTATAGGCCACGCGCGGATTTCTACGTGACGGCATGAGTCGCCGTTGCAGAGACGCAGTGAAACGTTCGCTGGGTAACAAATGAATTGATATTGTGGAATTATGTTATGCGGAAATGTTATTATGGAAATTTTAAGTTAAATAACAAGTTTTAATTTAAGGCTGGTAATCTTTAGGACTTCAGAATGTACTTCATGGGCACTTCAGAATGTACTTCATGGGCACAGAAATGTTAAGACATCATCGCAAACGTAATTATTGGTATAGATACTTCTAGGACTGAAATCTTAAGACATCATCGCAAAGGTAATTAATAGATTTCACTAAAGGCACTATGTCTATGCTTATGAAGCATAAATAAATCATTTGAATATGCGTCATATTAATGGAAATTCCAACTTTTTAACGCTTAGGAAGTTTAGGTAAAATAAGCAAATATCAATAAAGAATAAGCAGAGGTCTGGAACCCTCTGTACCATACTTATATAACGCGCATTGAAAACATACAGAGAAAATTTATCAAATATCTCTGTTTACGCACCAAAGAGCAGTATATTTATTCAAACCGATATTTATATTTTTGAAAGAAACACCACTTGTTACCACTGAAAAACGCCGACAAATTGCAGATTTAGTATTTTTATTAAAATTAGCTTTTGCTACTGCCCAGCATTACTGTCGAGGATTATTACTCTTAGGGCTACAACAAAACCACTTAGATTTTATCCCCTTATGCGTTCCACAGGCAACCTCATACTTTAGACAGAATTCGTATTTCTTGCGTGCAGGTAATAGTTTTAATGTTATATCTGAGAAAACTGGCATTGATTTGTTGTATACTAGCGTTTCACCACTGAGCCGGGTATTGAGCAGTGCATTTTTTGGATGCATATATAATATTTATGAAAATTTTATGATTAAAATGTTAAAAAAATATAAAAGAAATGCCACTGCAACGTTTTTATTTTACATAATATTTTTTTTTAACAATTATTACGAATTAAAAATACTTGAAACGGAACGTATTTTAAAACACCAATCAGCGTTTAGTGACGTCTTTCCTGTTATGACAACTTCTTTGAGGTTATGGTTGTTAAAGTAAATATTATTTTATGGGAATATTTATTGCGTTTTTTTACATTTAATAAAAATGGAAGTTGCGTTTATCAAAGCAGACTCCAGGAATTTACCAAGAGTTAGCGTTGACATGGTTATAACTTTTTTGTCCAAAGTGCAGAAATGAAAGGGACTAAATTACTACGGTATGTAAAAATCGTAGTTGTTAAACTTCGTATTTTATTCAGCGGCTTCTACAAATCTTACGGCGATAATGCAATGGTTATGTCCAAATTAAAAGAGATGGAAAATTATGTACAGTAAAAGGTCGAGTTCTCCGGAGCATAAAGTACGTAAAGAAGGTTATCGTGTTACAGTTATTTTAAATGAAACGCAAAGCTTGGTTCAGTCCTGCCAATGTGAAGATTGTGCCACACATTTTAAACTTTATCTAATTTTCGACGTCGTTCTCCAACTGTAAAATTAAAAATATGTTATATACAGGTTTTGTAAGTATTATGTAGGTTACTAATGCGTTTTTACGTACAAGCAGATTAATTAAGCATATAACAAGTATATTCGCCGAATTACGTCAAAGTGATCTTCTCAGCATCGAATAATGGTCTTTGGAGAATAATTGTCATTTCTCTTCGCAGCTTGAAACCACTTTTTTTCAGTTTTGGGTCAGAAGTTCCAGTCAAAAACAATTTATTTGGGAACTTTGTTGAAGTAGATTGGCACAAAACATGAGTCAACACGGCTTTTTTTCGGAATATTAGTGGTATTGTTATGATCACATGATGTTGATGGATAGTCCATTTTAAATTTTTCAAAAACATATTTCAAAGTCGAAAAAATATGCAAAAGTATGAAAATTAGTTAAATAAATAACATAAATATGTCAAATTTAAATTATTATAAATATAATATTCTTTTATCCCTCAAATAATACCTATTAATTGAATTATTTCCTTATTATTTTTTATTATAATATTTATTATTTTTAATATTATAAATTATTATATATAAAGCCAGCAACGAACAATTACGACCAGTGACAGACAGGTGTGACGTCATCGCAATCATAGGTTCGTTTTCGCGCGAAAATTTAAATTGTCAATTTAAAACCGCATTTTTTCCGATAAATCACAATGTTTTAATTTTTTAATATGTCTGTGGTTTATTCTACATGGAATTCTTTAAAATGAAAACAAAAATAAAAATATTGCATCTTCCCTAATCTTTTTTGTAATTATTATGTTAAGTGTGCTTAATTATGTTGTAATGTGTTTTTATTGGTGAAGTCCTGTAATTGGCTTTTTGTTATTATTTAAGTTTTTATTATTTTTATTAATAGCTGTTGGTTCAAATAAATAAATAATTTTAGATTAAAACAATGAATAATGCAGTAGTGCAGATACTAACGGCCCCGGTAATGTGGGTCTGGCCACTCGTTCGGCAGCCTGGACGCCAGCAGGGCGGCCCCTGCGGCAATCTGCGCGCCCACGCACTCGCCTGTACTGTTTAACTGGCAGCAGATACCGCACATCTTCAGCTCGGAGATCAATCCACCCTGTAGATAAATAATAAATAAATAAATAAATATTTCCGACACTCATACGAATTAGCCTAGCCCCAAAGTAAGCACTATAAGGCTTGTGTTATATATAAGTATATTTATATAAATACATATTAAACATCCATGACTGGAGTACAAATGATCGTATTCATCACACAAACATCTGCCCCCACTGGGATTCGAACCCGAGACCTCTCGAGTCGGCGGCAGCCATGAAACCCGGCGTACAAACCACTTGGCCACGGAGGTCGTCAGATGAACTGCTATTGTTCATAGTGCGGTTTCAGACAAGTGAATAGAATGCATTGACTAGTGTTAAGAGGCGTACTTTTTCCGTCTGCTTTTGAAACTTTTTAACAGAAAAGTTAAACTGCCGTCAAGTAAAAAATAAGAAACAATTTTATGCTAGGAACTCTGATCTATTTGATCTGCATGGCACTCTTATATTAATTTGACTAAAGATAAAAAGATTTAATAACTTTGACTTTGCGGTGGTTTAATTTTTTTGTAATTTTTTTAATTTTTTTGTGGCTATAATTTTTGTAATATCTATCTATATAAGTTGTGGTACAACTCGGCATCAAAATCTGTGAGTGAACATTCACCCCTATTTTCCCATCCTTAGGGTAAGATTTTTGTTTCATAATTCATATGGGACCAACTGCGAGGTACACCCTTTCCAATAAAAATAATAATTATCAAAATCAGACTACTCTGTAAAAAGTTACGTGTGGTCATCAATTACAATCAGTGAACAACAATCAATCCCCTGTTTTTTTCCAAATTCATATGGAACCAACTTCGGGGTATACCCTATCAAATAAAAAAAGAATTCAGGGCTGTATGGACTCAGAATCCTTTGCCCGTCCCAACTTGGGACAAATAGACCAAAAATAAAAAAATATGAACAACTACTCTGCAAAAAGTTATGCGTAGCCAATCATATACCACACTAATAATATAAAGGCGAAAGTTTGCGAGTGTGTATGTTTGTTACTTCTCCACGTCTAAACGGCTGGAGCGATTTTAATAAAATTTGGTATGGAGTTAGCTGACACCCTGGATTGACACTTAGGCTACGTTTTACTGCGGGAAAATATCCCTAATAAACCGCGGGTTATACCGCGGGGCACAGCTAGTAAAAAATATACGCGTCTACTTCAGAACCGCCTCCGTTTTTTATTCTCTGATTCTTCTCTGTAAAACTAAAGAATTCCCAACTTCCTGGTAGAACTAACCGGTCCTTTCTTAGGGCAATCGCATTCCCTAAGCCCTAAAGTAGCGCATTCGGCCGCGTGACACGAGCCGTCTGGAAAACACCGTCCGCCCAGACCGCACTGACAGTCTGTTGAATTGGTGCACGAACATTCCCGCTCCTGAGCGCTGCAATCCTGAATGCAGATTATTTCATAGGCAACTTAGAAAGATACAGAATAATTCCTTGTCTGTGAGGTGGCTGAATTCAGACACCAGAACAGACAGGGCATATTGTTACAGGTTATATGGAAAATTGATGCACGAGCATTCGTTATAAAGTAGAATGTATATATATAAAACTCAAAGGTGACCGACTGACATAGTGATCTATCAACGCACAGCCCATACCACTGGACGGATCGGGCTGAAATTTGGCATGCAGGTAGATGTTATGACGTAGGCATCCGCTAAGAAAGGATTTTGATCAATTCTACCCCCAAGGGGATAAAATAGGGAATGAAAGTTTGTATGAAATTTTGTCAATTTTAAACCGATCGGGCTGGACTTTGCATGCAGGTATAAGAAGAATCATAGATGAATGTCATTGTGTATAATACAAGCCTGAGAACAAAAACTGTAGTCTACACTTCAGCTCTACACCGAAGCGAAGCGAGGGCGGGCCGCTAGTAATACATAAAAGTATGTGTATATCGTGCTTCCAAAAGATTCACATTTGCGACAAACATTATCATGCGCACGACACAACTATTCACTGCCGTCTTTGACCTATTGGAGGCCCTGGGCATATTAGGATAATGGGGCCCCTATGACCCCCGTTTGGTGATCTAACAGGAACTAGGGACTTTGTATTTGTGATCTGAGTTGGGCCCCTATCGATCGCGGGGCCCTGGGCACTTGGTCAAAGTGCCCATTGGGAAAGAGGGGTCTGCAACTATTACTACTTACGATACATCTAGATGCACTTAAGCACTGCAACCCTGAAAGTAGTTTTCATTGGCAGAGGCAGTTCATTTTATGCTAGAAAAATACTTTATTTGTTCTCTCACATACAAAATACATATTGGTAAAAAGTAAGGTATAAGCAAATTCACAATTTAGATACCTAACTTATAACTCTATGTAAGACTGGCTTCTGCACTAGGAGAACCTGTATGACAGATAACCAGCCTCTCCGACTCTGGATCAGGTGGATAAGGGTACCTCTTACTAATAATTTAACATAAATATAAATATTAACTTGTGAGTATGTGTTATGATGTGTGTGCGTGTGTGTGCGTGCGTGCGTGCATGTGGAAGTGTGTGAATGTGTGTTTATGATGTGTACTCGTATTTAATTTAATAATATTCTGAATTTCTTATGTAGGAACAGTTAGAAGCTCTTCAGTGTCATCATAGCTAAGACCCTTCAGAAAAGCAGTAGTGGCCTCTTTACATTTAAACTTTGTCAAGGGGTAAATTTTAACCTTCTGATTAATTTTATTATAAAGATATTGACCAAGAAAACCAAAAAATCTATTCGAAAATCTTGTGAACCAAAGGAGAATGCTCATGGATGTATGGACCGCCGTACAATGGTTGCATCAATACCAAACAAATGTTAAATGATCGTTTAATATTCAAATTAGTATGACAAATTGGAATTTTGAAAATAAAAACAGGGGTTTTAATGTTATTGTAAAAAATGTGACATAACCTCAAATCCTTAATAACTCCTATTTAAAGTTGGTTTACAGCTATTTTGGGTACTTTTTTATTCTGTTATTTTTGATCAACTTGAGTCTTTCACTGTTTTTCCAACCTACTGCATAGATTTTCATGACAACACAGATTTCAGTGATGGCAGATTTACGTATAGGTAAATAAAAACATTAATATAGGACACTTTTTATTAGATTACATATATTAATTGTACACATTATATTTGAATTACCAGTATATTTCAAATCAACATAATCTTCATAGAAAAAATAATCTAAATAAGGCGCCAGAGCAGTAACATCATTGTAACGACCCCAACTTAAAAACTGAACTACAGTCATTATGTGGTCCTAACAGCCCACAGGTTGTTCACCAAGGAGACAGCTGCAATAATAACCTTTTATAGCCTCTAATATGTCTGCCAAAGCAGCATCTCTACTGATAAGTAAATATGAGTTATATGTATGCTGCTTAAGTGTCAGGATTTAATCCTACCTCTTAATAAATAATTATTTAGACCTAAAACAAGAGGAATATCATCTACAAACAAACAAATTCAAACAATTTGTAGCTTTTGTCTTACAATGTTCTTATGAAGCTCCTGGATTATTGAAAAGAGTGGCCAATCTTTCGTTGTTATCAGCAGTTCTTAATTTAACTAAATAAATACAAAAGGCTATAGAAGCGTTTGGCACTTGATCTGCTAGATTGGTATACAGTTGAGCAAATTATAAAACTGTTCAGAGTTCATAACAAGTCAATAATGACATAAATGAGGAGACATAATTGAAACATTAGAAAAACCTAATTAGTAATTGGCTGATCGCTGTATCATAATCATTATATTATCAAACTGTGTGCCAGTAAAATCTCTTAATTAATTCAAATTCATTCATTTAAAAATTCATTCCATGAACCATAATTCAAAAAGTGATGACAAACACATGCACCAGCTGGTATGCACAATTTATTATTATACAATAAGAGATCCCTGATGGTAGATGAAATAAGTAGACATTCAGGCTCTAAACAATTTGCAATTACACAGGATACATGTATGATGATGATGATACAATTTTTAGAGTCACTTATTGAACTGCTTCTAGTCTTGGTTGTGGCAGAGGAGGTGGCACAAGTATAGAATGATTGCCACTTAATGTAGTATCTACAAGAGTAAGGCGACTTGAGTCATGTTGTTGTTGCCTTTGTACTTGTTCAATCTCCAACATGCAGCACATACATGTTCCATTCTTGAGATCTAAAAAGATAACATTAATAAAAAATAAATAATTAATATGGAAAATTCCTTTCTGTTTATTTTAAGGAATTTCTGTATTCTCTCATCATCTATTACCTGTCTAGTGATAACAAAACAAATAAAATAAAATAAAATCTAAATGTTACCATGACTACTACAAACATCTTAGTTCTGGATTTGTAATTAAGTATGATATGCAATAATAATACACAGTAATAATAGTTTTCTCATAAGATTGTGATAGTAAATGATTCCTAACCTAAGTATCTAGAACTGTTATTACTTTTTTAAGAAGTCAAACAAAACAGTTAATATATATGTCGTACAGTTAGTTGCACATGACATTAGACAAACAATATTAGCTCACCTGAGTAGGATTTATCCATGACTGTAATATGTTGAGGGCTAAACTGTTCTTCTACAAAAAAAAATTAAGTATCACCTCTTGGGCCCTGGAAATACAGTTTTACAATACACTGGTTTAGCCAGTCAAATAGTCTAATCGTCATCGATTCCTCATTTGTAGTAGAATGCGTGAGTAGAGAACACTACAAACACACATACGGTAAATAAACGTCCTGTCGTGAATGCACAATTTTTCCTGAAAACGTCTTGCCTGTCTTAACAACTCAGACAAAAAACGTTTCATACGTTCACACGCAATCATTATCACTTCACAATTTATGTAAAAAACTCAATCAACACAAAAATATGAGTACTAACAACAATTGACAATTCTCCAATCATTTGCAATAGGGTAGGGTGGTGATGATCTGAAATTGAATATACGAATAATCGATGGAATTAAAGAAAAATGTTTTTGTATATAAACGATTTTACGCAATGAATAGATCTTTTCAGATACAAATAAATCCAGATTCAATTAATTAATAAACAGCATAGAAATAAATATAATTACTAGTTATTACTTAGTTAATGATGAAATCGATAGTTAGGTGAGCGCCTTCTATAAAAACGATTAAAGATTTTCGCGGAATTAACCTTCTTTAACATTATTAATACGTGTCGAATTTTTAAACTTAGATTCGAATACCCCGGCTACACGTTCCGTCTTACCTAAGAGCATGCCTGCACAGATTAACTAGCCTCTCTTTGTCGTCATTGTCGTCCGTCCCTCTCTAACTTAGATACTTTTATGGACGTAGAACAGGACGCGGCACAAGCTAATGTACAATCATTGTATTTTGCGTACAAGAATAAGGCTTTTTGACTACGTAGGCAAGACAAAGCGCTGGGTAAGCACGTGCCTCTTTTTGTCCGACTACCTACATGCTCGACATTTTATCATTTTCATCTCTATGCTTAACACGTTACATCCAGTAAGTAGACACTACATACAGCAAGAGACGTGATAGGAAAGTGTCGAGTTAAGCCAAGCGACGGGTTTCTGACTATGACGTATTAAGCATAGAGACGAAATAGATAAATAACGAGTTGTCATCGCAACAGTTAAGACAATAAAAACGTAAAATCACTATTAAACAATAATTAGTAACACGTGATTTATTTGCTTTTTGATGCCCCACTCATCGGTAACAAAAACAACAATCGATTATAATGTATAACTAATAGGGTACTATGGCATCACTATTTTTACGATAAATAAACAAACGTCAGATATCCGGATCAAAATATAAACAGTACTATGACTAATATTATTTTAAAAATTATTCCCTGTTCAAAATAGCCATTCTGATAGACCATCGTACGTATAAATTAAAGAAAATAATTATCATAATAATTTTATCTTGAGGCATGAGACAAAACTGTACCAAATATGGGCATTCTCCAATTTAGATATACAGACTTTGTGCTTCAGTCGATTTGATGAGTTCAGAGAAGGATCAAATTCGGTTAGTGAGTGTTGTTTTAAAATAGTACTATAAATAGTATAGTACTAAAGATGATGATGCCACATTCTTTTCGATACAATAATAATTAATACCTAACATCAGGTGGGGTGGGGATTACAATGAAAAAAAACGAGTGTGCTTATGATTACACGACTGAAGTGAAACTTCTTAGGTCCATCTGTATGTATATATTTATATATTTGTACAATATATACATGTATGTACACATACATATTTCATTTACTAGCTATGTTCAGGATGTACCGAAACTAAGATACTGATAAAATGATAAACTTGATAACTTGATAATAAATTATATTTTGGTAACTAAACAATAACTTAAAACAATACTAATTGATATAAATATGATTGTTATGAATGAGTACGCGCACGGCTTACTTGATAGCTAATTGCGAACTAACTTGTAAGTAATTGACGATTATTGAATAACTAGCAAACCAGTGAACCAAATGTTCACCAAAACCTGATTTCTCGAAAACCGGAAGTGCTACGTTACTCAAATCCGGTTTGTAGTCTTATCAGACTATTCTTAACTTATAACTTAAATATTCTCTTTATCTATCTCTTACGGTTTGGCCGCTGAAACAGCACCACAGACAGACAGGCGGACGGACTTGTCTAATAGATAAGAGATAATAAAAAAGGTCAATTAGTAAAATGATGAGCGGGCGAAATGTACGTAGCTTGCTCGTACAAGCTATAAGAGAAAGAAAGAAAGAGAATGCGCGCGCGCACTGCTTTCTCTTACTTACATCCCTCACTCAACTCCCGTACGCCTCGCTCGAACACACTTTTCGTAACGCGTAACGCATTCGCCAGCTAACACCCCAAGTCAAGCGTGCGTAAAGTAGTTTCAGTTAAAAAAAATGTATTATGACGCGAATCTAAGTGAAAGCGTTAATTTTTACGTAGATACCACAGAACACAGAAAGATGTTAGAAGGGCCTTGTGGGCGGGGCAGGCGCGCCACAGTTAGTTGTGAGCAAATGCTCATAACTTGACCAAAACTTGGCAACGATTGCATTGTTGCGATGGGGTGTGAGCGCCGATTGGTTCGATTGTTTGATGTCACGGCGTTTGATTGGCTAATATCTATTAGGTGTATGTGTAGTGCGGGCGAGCCGGCGACATCGGTTCCCGTACAAAAGGTCTCTGAAGACCCTTCTAACCTCTTTCTATGTTCTGTGGTAGATACTGACTATGCCACTCCTGAGTAGGTTGGCGTACTGGCAGTTGTTGGTGCAGCACAGTCCCTGAGATGGGTGGCACGCAGCTCTCGGTGCTACAGAACAACCCTCCTTGTGAAGTGCCCTGAACAATACGAAATATATGTATTCTCAAAATAGTCTAAGCTCGGTCGATGTATTTTCCTCATGACTAATAGTCGTGTGACGGTACAGCCATTTCTTGAAGTCTTGCAAAATGTCTGGCTATTAAAGAAAATATCAATTTGATAACATTGATTCCAACAGAATGTTGTTATTTTGGTTTCACCTTGAGAGATGGCATGGATCAATTAGGCATCGCAAGTGGAACTTTCGTATAATAGGGTATCTGACAAGTATTAGAAATGATCTCACTATACTATATATTTACTCATGTTTATGTAGTCCATAAAAAGCGAATATTTATCATTCCAATAATAAAAAAACTAAATCAATAAGTCCATCATCCAGTTTCCGCGAAAACGTTTCTCTGGACATAATGGTGTCTTACTGGCATGTGACGTCACAGGACTGTTATTAAAACGCCAAATCATACAATGTTATGGCACTTTGACCCGACGTTTCTAGTGTGATGTCATTTTAATCTTCACAAATCTCAGGCGTTTTCGGTCACGTGACCAAAGAACAGAGAAATTAACGTTTAGGGATGTCGAAAGTTGAAAAAAATATCGATATAGGTATCGATTTTTTAAAAAATATCAATATCGGCTTCGATATATCGCGAAAAAAACATCGATATATCGGACCAATTTTCCCAAAAATATCGTACAGTAGCTCACGAAATATGACACGCGGAATAATAATGGAACGAAAATTATCTCCCTAAAAATAGACCCTATTTTCGAATGATGAAAATCATTAATCTGAGATCCAGTTACGATTTTTCCAGATATAAATTTAGTTAGATCGTGATATGCCGCTAATAATTAAAAAAATATCGTTTTTGATACGAATTTCGATATTGGTTATTTTGTATCGATGTATCGATATATCGACTCAAAATATATCGGCAAAAAATATCGATATATCGATACATCGATATATTTTCAACAAGCCTATTAACGTTATTAATAATTTTATAGAAATGAAGAAATTAGAAATTAATTGTTTGTTCTCTCAGAATTGTTAAATCGTTGCTAATATTCATATTAAATACAGATGCCAATAATTGGTAGGTAGGTACTATATTTTTCATAGCGTCAAACACTAAAAATGTATATAAATAAAAAAAACGAAGACATTCAAATTATTTAGTGTTCAAATTATTACATTAAGTACCCTTAGTATGCTTAAACTCGTACTAAGGGTAAAACTATCATAGTTTTCGTAATTGTAAATTATGTTTCTATGTCCATTTTGGTGAAAAGTAACCAAATTTGCTCAAAATTTAAGAAGACGCAAATGACTTATGATACAATTTAAACACTGTGTATTTGTATTGAAACGCAAACAATAAAATCAGTACCCTTAGTACGAGTGCGAGCTCAAGAAAAGTATCATAGTTTTCATAATTGTAAATTATGTTTCTATGTCCATTTTGGTGAAAAGTTACCAAATATGCTCAAAATTTAAGAAGACGCAAATGACTTATGATACAATTTAAACACTGTGTATTTGTATTGAAACGAAAACAAGAAAATGAGTACCCTTAGTACGAGTGCGAGCTCACGAAAACTGTCATAGTTTTCGTAATTGTAAAACTCGTACTAAGGGTATAGACCAGGGTCGATAATTTTTGAGACCAAAAAAAATTATAGTAGGATGAAACCCATTAGAAAAGGTAGAGAATATAACAAAAATGAAAGGAAAAATAAATTACGGGTGATCTGAGGTCGGGAAGGGAGAGAGGGTGAGTTTTTTAGGGTAAAAAATGGTTAATCTCGATTTCCGGTAAAACTGCAAGTCCTATGAAAAAAAGTTAAATGGCAAAGTTGTATGTAATAAAAAGATCTACAACTTTTGTATCGACACTTTTTTCACATAACCTCAAAATTTATGTGAAAAATGCGAAAAACCGAGTTTTTGGTTTTTGATTTTTATTTTTTGCAAAAAAAAAATATTTTTTCACGAAATTTGGTGAACACTTACCTTTGTATGTCCCAAACATACAGTAATTTTTTTTGATTTAAAATATTCATTTTTCACCTTATTTTGACTTAATATCGAAAAAGCACTTTCAATCGAAAATTCTCACGTCAAAATATCTGCTTTTTTAAAAAAGTTGGCGTGTTTTTTTGTTTGTTGAAATCTCTACTTTCTGATGGTATAAAAAAAAATATACACTACTATGGTAAATGTTCTCAGAAACTGCAAATTAATAATGAAAAAAACTCCAATCAAACCAAAAAAAGATTAACCATTTTTTACCCTTAAAAACTCACCCCCTCCCCCTTCCCGACCCCAGATCGCCCGTAATTTATTTTTCCTTTCATTTTTGTTATATTCTCTATCTTTTCTAATGGGTTTCATCGTACTATATTTTTTTTTCACTTTTCACCATTTTTAAAATTATCGACCCTGGTCTAATACAGCAGTCTTCAACCAAATAACAGTTCTGCAGTGTAGCGAGGAAGTTTTCCAAAGCTCATAAGCTAGCCAACCAGAAGGAAGACGAAAACTGTGTGAGATTGCCAACTATCAATGTGTCCGAGCTCGATGGCGCATGTGACTAGCGCGTTCGGCCGCGATCGTTGAAGTTAAACAACTTTCGCAGTGGTCGGTCATTGGACGGGTGACAAAAAATCTTCTATCTCGGGTTTCTCCGTACTTCGAAAGGCACGTTATGCCGTTGGTCCCGGCTGCATCTGCAGTGTTAGCATCCGCCAATCCGCACTGGGTGGTGGATCATGGCCCAATCTCCCTATGCCATCCAAAGGGAAGGACTAAGCCCCAGCAGTGAGGACATTAATGGGCTGATGATGATGATGATAATGATGAATTGGCGGAAAACTGAAATGGGAGTTTTGTACCGAGCGGTCTCTTTGTTTGGGGTTATTTATTTATTTATCTCTGTTCCGTTTACAAATACATTTTAAACACTTATTGTATAATTAACTTATGGTAGTTATTTAAGTAGCTATGTAGAACTTTGTGAGAGACTGACGCCTAAACTAAGCATAAAAATGCTTGTATAACAGGTCATCAGATTCCCACAAAAAGATGTCGATTCAGTATTTAAAAAGAAATAAACGTAGTTTTGACTCATTAACATTAGAGTCATAAATATTATTAACTGTAAGCATTATTTCCAGGAACAGAGAAGAAAACAAAAAATAAAATAAAACAGGAAATCGCCAAAGATACCACTTAAAAATAGTTTAAAAAAAAATATGTATATTGTAGTGTTTATTTTTAAACAGGGCGTGACACTGACACACGTAGGACAGCTGTTTTGTCTATGATAGCGAACCGCTTACGTCAGCGTAGCTGTCAAACTTCATTGATTGGGTTGGTAGCCTATGCCGTGCAACACATTTAAAATTTTACATATGGATAATTTGTTTGAGGTTGATTTGAGTACTTTATGATGTAAGCTACACACCCTTCTTCGAATACGAGTGCTCCCCCAGCGCGGGGAGTGCAGCAGGGGTCTCTGTGTACACAACGCGACGGCAGCCCGCAGTCGCAGGACTCTCCTTCCTCCACAATACCTGGGAACAACAATTGATTTCAAATTCTTAGTTCCAATCAATCAATCAATCAAAATCATTTATTCAGTTTAGGCTGTTACAAGCACTCATGAATGTCTAGAAGCTACGCCATCGGTTCGTAAATCTACGGCGGGAGACCTTGTACTGAGAAGAACCGGCAAGAAACTCAGCAAGGGCTGTTTTTTTCTCCCTGTTTCATTATTTACAGAGTCGTCAAATTGAAAAATGACTTCAGAGGTGATTCATGAAGTCACTTTTCATTACATAATTATTAAATATACATTAATTGTTTACCTGCATTTTGATTGCTGTGTCATACAGTATAAATACAAATAGTGTTATCTATATTCAGTGTGACTAAACATTAACTTCAATATTAAGAAAGTTAGGGCAGACTCATCTCCGCTGGCAGCACCCGTTCACGAGCATGACACATGAACCAGCCATCGCTTCGCTCAACCATATTTTTTTTTTCAATCTGAGTATCACAGCAACAGCCATGGATCTAAGTACCTAGATCGTCATGTACTTGCGCTTGCCATGTGCTTCAAGTTATATGTGACAACGTGTCATATTTTAATTATTTAATACTAATAATTATATAATTTTGACGACCTCTGTGGCCGAGTGGTTCGTACGCCGGGTTTCATGGTGTCGCCGACTCGAGAGGTGGGTTCGAATCCCGGTGAGGGTAGATGTTTGTGTGATGAATACGAGCATTTGTACTCCAGTCATGGATGTTTAATATGTATTTCTATATAAATATACTTATATATGTACTGTATATGTATTCTATCCGTTACCCTAGTATCCCATAACACAAGCCTTACAGTGCTTACTTTGGGGCTAAGCTAATTGGTGTGAGTGTTGGAAATATTTATTTATTTTAATAGCACCCAAGTGGCAGGATTCTCTTTGCTCCACGATACTTGGAACAACAACCAATTTATCCGAAATATAAAACTCTGAAAGTTCCTAGTTCCATTCGGAATATCACAGCAGACTTAAACCAAAAAAAAATGTTCTGCCGTGTTGTGCGTAAGAAAGGTTGCCAAAGTTTTGTAAAGTACGGGAATTGGAGATATTTTTCCATACAAAACTTTTTGACATTTGTCGCGTATCGAGCTCGAATTAAGCTATTCGAATTTGATATTGGTTGTTGCTAAGGATACAGATCGACATTCGCATGACATTGACAATTCTCTAGAAAGTGAAAAAAAGAATGGCGCAGACAATGCCTACCATAACGAATTATTGGCCGTACTGATCAGCCCATTTTTAAAGTGATAACTGCTTATAGCATGGTAAACTGCTTCGTTACGTTACGCGTGACGGCATCAGTTTGGTTTCCCTTCGCCACGCTCGCCACCCCGCCCAGGTACCAGAGGGGTGTCCCCAGAGCGACTCACTCACTCCCTCACCCATTAATCCCCACTATCAGCCACCAATCCCCAATTATCACCCATGAATCGTCTAATCACCCTCGAATCCCTTTTCACTCTCCAACTCCCTTTTCACCTACCAATCTCCTGTGCTTATTTAGATACTCCTTGTCTATCACTCTAACCCGCGGCGCCGCCCAAGGGCGTAGCGAGGATTTAGTTCAGGGGGGGGGGGGAGTTATTACAACTCAAGACTTCACCTGAAATTGCATGTAAAATTTCTTGCACCATCTTTCGGTGTACACTTAAAATACACAGGCCATTGACACCTACAAATTTGAATTTTGGCGCGCAGGCGCATAGTAGGTTTCAGTATGTTACAGGATTAAGTACCGGCCCTTTACTATCGATCGATCTGAGTGGCGTGCATTTGAAGAGGCCTATGTCCAGCAGTGGACTAAGATAGGCTGTTGATGATGACCTATCAAGATTCGAGCTTTAGTAACGAGACTAATGAGAGTGACGTGCGATATTTTTTACTTTGTTTAATTTATTTATAAGCACTATTATTAATTATTTAATTTTGGGTTCTGGAGCTCCTCCACCTAGGGGGGCGGCAACAGCCCCCCCTGTCAATACCTGCCTACGTGCTTGGCGCCGCCTAAATTAGATTAAGTTATCACTTCTGTCGTACGTCTCGTGACGCTCAGGATTTTTTTATTTTTTACAGTTTGTCTGGGAATTCTCAGTCCATTCTTTATGTATATGACCAGATGTCAATCTACTACGCTACAAGGGGATTTTCGTTTTTCAAGAATTAATGACAAAACATTGACAGTATGAGTTAAACAAGGTCAATTTTACTTCATTGCTACATTTACCAAATTTGCGCGCGAGCATATTGCACCTCATCGACAATGCCCGCCTCTCTCGTTCCATATCGAGATCGACCCTTCCGTTCTCTGTAAGGATGTGCCCAAGATACTTAGATTGTTGTACCACCCGAAGCATTCAACCATACATCAGGAACATTCTTCGGACCCCGTCCCGCCTTGAAGACTATCACTTCTGTCTTTGTAGCGTTGTATTTCAAACCGTGACCATTAGCATAATGTTCACAGATCGAAAGAAGCTTACGGAGGCCTTTGATTGAGGGGCTGACGAGCACCATATCATCAGCGTAGCTTAAGCTATTAACGCATACATCACCAATATAAAAAAACGTACCATTTCCGCAATACGGCCTGTCCTCCTCCGACAGACAGTAACTCATGCTACTCAGCGTTGCTGCTATGAGCCGTTTGCTGCACATGGAGAACTCAAAGTTCATGCCGGTGCTGGCCGCGCTGGACTGGGAGCCCATCAAGTAGCCGCGACACTCGGGGTTAGGGAAGTTGTCGTCGTGGTGGGCGCCGAAACTGTGCCCTGATACCGTAATAAGTATTATGAGAAGATTAATTACTACACTTATTATAAACGTTCTGTATTGAGTTCAGTACCCCTAGCACGAACCAATATCGAATTCGTATCGTTTGCGAGTCCGAAATGTCATTGTCAAATTTGTACTGATTTTTAAGTTCTCATTACGTACTTTGTGCCGCTGCTGTTAAAGTCTCCATACAAAATTTGACATTGACATTTCGGTTTGCAAACTATTCGAATTCGATAATGGTTCGTGCGAGGGGTACAGTTCGTTGGATGTGTTGAAAGAGAGGTACTGTAAGCCCCGCTAATGTAAAAGTTAACTAGTTACAAGAATCTTTTTCGCTAGAATGGAGAACCAGTTACTTTTTATTTGGTTTATTTTGCAGTTGGTCAGGGAACGCTTGTGTACTTTAATTACACACTACTTTCGCTTTAGGGGTTGATAGGTACTCTTTAGAAAGAGAAAGAGCGATATCATGTGATCAACGGGCTGAAAAGGACGAAAGAAAGAAGTGGAGCTATCAAGCGACTAGTACCTATTGATAGACCGCTTAACTGAGTCCTCGCTTACGAGGTACAGGGTGTGGGGGAGGAGGCAGTCACCTCCTTCTGCGAGAACATTATCTCGCTGAGAGGGAGCGGGAGGATGATCCTCTGGCGGCTCTCTCCCGCCAAAGGAGGACGGGTAGGAAAGGACGTCGGCGTGCCCTGGCTGCGCCCGTCCCATGACCCTACCCGGGGGATCCCTCGCTGACCGGTATGGCGACAACTGTGCCGGCCACCAACGGACCCCGTGACGGCAGCCCCCCCTTGTAGTTCTGTCCTGCAAAGAGGGGGGCGGCAGAGGGAGCTAGCTACACGGGCACGCCCAAGTAGCCCTCCGCAGCGGACGGGGGGCGGTACGGTGGGCACTTAGCCGCGTACTCAGCCCCCACGCACGGGCCATCCTGCGCACGTCTGCGGGGTCCCCGCGATACCCCGGCAAGGCTGGGAGGCTACTAGGTGCGGAGACACGGAAGAATCTCTAAACGGGTTACGGGCGCCCGTAAGGGTTACAGGGTCCTCAGTGGGCTGCCAGCAGCCACTGCTGAAGCTCGTAAGGCTTGCGGGAGCCAGGTGCAAGGTCCGTTCGGCGGTGTCTCTTAAAGGCGCCGTAGTCTGTAAATAGTATAAAAAAAAGTTTTGGGGGAAGGACGAAAACGGGGAGTGCGGGCGGCAGGCACATTCTTGTCAAAATTACAAGTGCCCGCAGCCCGCACCTCTCACGGCCCCCGCTCTCGTCCTCCCCCAGACCCGTACCCCGCAGGTGAGATCTCAGTTAAGCGGTTTACCTATCGTTCGTGTTCGAATTTGCCTGACAAACGGCTAAGGAATAAACTTTGTGTCGTATGGTCACACACAGTATATACATCCAGATGCGCGGTATATGCACCAGAGTGAGCGTGGGATCCTGTCGGGCACCCTCTCCAGGGATAGGCTGGTGCAGTAAGATATGGCGAGCAAGTTGATCGACCGATCATAAGCACAGCCTTCAGACCAGCGGTGTGAACAGACATGAAGCTACAACTAGCGGAGCTTAATGTATGGAGTTTACCCATCTCGTGTGCTAAAGTGAGAGCGGCGATCCTTTCAGGCACTCTCTCCAACGGGTGTGTGGTACCGTGAGCGATGGCGAGCGTATTGAGCGAGCGGCCGTAAGCACGCCGGTCGCACAGCCCGCCCGCTGCACCGCCCAGACCGCCGCCCAGAGATGTGAAGCTAATAAAAACCAGAGACACTTAATCATCTTTAGCCTTAATGAATACTCGCTGCTGGGGCACACGCTTTCCCTATGGATGGAACGGGCCATAGCCCACCAGGATTAATGGTTAAATGTGCCTTCGGAAGCACGGAGGAGCTCCAGATAATTGGTCACCCATACGATGACAGGTTGTGAAAGTTGTTTAGCTTCTACGTTTGTAGACCGAGCGCTTGAACCAATGAGGGCTACCGTTTTTTTTTCTCACCAGATGGCGTCAATGTTGAGCGAGGTCCTGAAGTGTAGCTTTTAAAGTTTGTTAATACGCGCTTGAAATCAAAGTATACATTTAAATCATATTTTAATATAAAATAACCGTATCGTTAACGTAATCGGCCATGCCACAGTGTTGCGAAGTTCCGTTTTGTTTGGAAAAAAAGGAGGAGAATATTTTTTCTTATAAATCACTGACATTCATTGACACAAAACTCATATATTTATCGGAGTTATTACCAAATGTTCGCATCATTATCATCTTATTTAAATAAGAAATATACCCGTGTAGTCAACCCACAAGCCATAACATTATTTTGACATTTCGGAAACCTCACGCTATACAAGCGCCTCTAGCGGCGGATTCATACGCGATAGCCCTCATTGGGGGGCTATTGAACTTCTCGGGGCTTAATACCTGGGTGAAGGCTAAGAGTGATGCGCTGAGCCTTGAGAACAATTATACTAAAATCACGAACGTCAAATGTTAGAAGTACACCAAAGTTTAAGCGGTAAGCAGTGGCAGAGCGAGAGGGGTCTAGGGTGGCAAATATACAGGTTGTAAAAAAACCTATAACAAAGACTAAAACTACGCATTCTGTACATCCAAACAAGTAATATTATACGTGGAAATAATTTATATTTTTAAGTTAAAAAAATACTTTTTTTTTCTAGTACGCAATGTATAGCGCGGCGCGCTACTGTGGCGCTACGCAAAGAATGTGCCTGTGTGTTTTGTGTGCGTGTGTGTGTAAGTGCGTCGATAAAAAAGTTTCTACATATCGTTTTGAAAATATTAATGTATAAATCTAGAAAAAAAATGGGTGCGTGTACTTATGTAGGCGCGTGAGAAGTTATCCTTCTTTGGCATCGTTTAAAATTAGTTTTAATTGCATGCAAATAATTAATTACAATAAATTAATAAAAAGTCTGGAAAAGGACACAGTCAATAAAGTTCAGTTTTAATTTGAAAAAATAAATAAATAATCAAAATATTCAATTAAAATCGCTACTGAATATAATTTATTAGAACATATGTGATTTGCACTTGTATGAAACTCAAACACGTATTCCGAATATACAAACTAGAAACATGTGGATAAATATTATAAATATGAATACCTATAACTGTTACTTTATTACAAAAAATAAAGATGTGGTTTTTGGTTCTACTACACCAATGGTCAAGAGATGGCGCTGTAGTCTCCTGAATCGCGCTTTGGTTCCGTTGTTCCAGATTAATAAATACTTTTGATAGGCCTTCACAATGCAGTCGTTAGCACCCACTAAATAGAGATTCTATTTCTATTTTGTTGGTAGATTTTCTTAATGTGCGGTAAACACAAGTGTTAAAATTTTGTGTAACAGTGATGCGCGCGCATCTTAAAATTTCACTCTCATCATTTTTTCATAACGCGCCTAAAGAAGTATAACTTCAAAAATGTGACTTCAATGTCTCCATAACCATAAATTTCCCAAATATGGTCCAAAAGAAAAAAATAAGCGTTACGATGTGGAAAATACGTAGCCTTAGACTTCGTTAAAGGATATTTTACACCTTGTATACGATTCCAAGAAAAATTGCATAAGTTCTTTAGTGGGGGACAAAAATGCAGTACACCATAAAAAAAGTTATTTGTATTTCAGGTACTTTACCTCAGACCAAGTGTCCGGTTATGGAAGGCGTGTCCAGAGAACGCGACTCCCAAACACACTTCTGAAAGTCGCCGCAGCCTCGCGAACCTCATCAGATAGTCGCGGCCGTCAATGGAGTGGTGCTGGAGAAGGTCGCCGAATACACGACCGTTGGTCTCCTCGGATGTCAGAACCAGAATATACTTCACGGAGAAACCTGAGTTTAAACGGATTTACTAATAACTACATAATGAAACGACAAATGCCAGATGTAATTTAAGGTCCGCGGCATGGAGGTTACAGAGAAAGAGAACGATCGCTGTAGAAAATAGTGTCCCAGAAATATGGGCAAAATAAGTGAGGCGCTGCGGTCGCTAAGTTGTCTCAAAAAAAGCGGGCTTTTGTGCGCTAATTTGAAATGATCTATCAACGTTTAATATACGTATATATATTATCATTCAAAGAAAAAAAGAAAGCAACGAAATTGTTAAAAAAAATATCAATATCGTTTATTCAGTCTAGGCTGTTACAAGCACTTGTGAATGTCGAAAAGCTACGCCATCGGTTCGCAAATCTACGGCGGGAGACCTTGTACTGAGAAGTTATTATTATTTATTATTATTAATAAATAAATAAATTATAAATTGTTTTTTATAATTTCGTACATTATTCAACTAACTTCATCTACTTGTACTCATAAACAGCTAACTTCACAGGAACTACTTACCGACGGCAGCGCGGCTGGTGGCTGAAAAATGAACTATAAATACTACAAATTTTCAGGGACAGGCGGGCTAATGCTTTAGCTTTGCGTAGATATCGTTCGCCTTCTCTCTAACCTCCATGGTCCCTTATGGCGCGATTACACTTGGCTGTTAGCCCAATTACGAGTGGCAATGGAATTCGGGTAAACGATGAACGAAAGTGTAGATGAACGGAGTCTAATACACCCGTTTTCGGGTAGATTTCCTTTTGTTTACCCGACACCGTCTTCCAGCTCCAAGCTGAAGCAGTGTAAATATTGCTAAGTATTATACTTGAGATGAGCTCGATGGTGCAAGTGGTTAGCGCGTGCGGCTGCGATCGTTGAAGGGCCATTCCACTATCGCGGGTGCAACGTTTAGACGCCTGATTTAGTTTATCTTTAAATAAAAAACATTTTAAATAAAATAAGTCTTTGAAAGACTACATTTTAATATGTTCTCTTTATATAAACTAACAATTTTTTTTAAATATTTTTTTAAAAGCCAGGGGAAATGTTCAAAGTGCCTTCGCGGGTGCAACAGATTTGGCCCAACCTTGCCAGATCACAAACAAAAAACATATAAATCTGTTAATTCTGATACAATTAATATTTTATGCATTAATATTTTGAAACTTAATGAAATAACAAAGAACATAAAATGAAAACTCTAATCAAAATAAAAATAAAAACAATTATTTATTAATTTTTCATCAATCGCGGGTGCAACACCGAATTATCGCGGGTGCAACCCGTCTAATTTAAGTGAACATAAACATGAATTTTACTTATATAGGAACTAAATTTGAGATCAAACTATACTTATTAGGTACAATTATACTTTTGTTGTTGATTATATTAATTATTTCTTTTGAAACACGTCAATATCTGAAGAAAATTCTGAAAATATATTATTTCCATCAGTCTTTTTCTTTGGCGCTTTCAATATTGCAATAATGTCTTCAAATTGCACATCTGCTATGTCATTGAAGATTTCTGAGAATCGTTTACCATCAACCGTCGTCATAAATTGAACTCTGACTTCTGCATCTTCGTCCATACCACTTAAACACAACCCCACATAACGATATTGAGTTATTTTCTTGCCGGTTCTGCTGAGCAATTGTACGAGGATATACACACCAGCGCAAATATTTTTCGGTAAGAGAATAGCTTGGTCATTTTCAGGACATGCTTCTGGTAATAAATTTGAAGCTTGAAGAGACGTTGATGGTGTTTCGTCATTTAGACATTTATTATCTGAATCAGTGTCTGAATCACTGTACACATCAGAAACGCGCAATTTCTTTTTAAGTGGCAACAAAGATTTGCTCTGATAAGAAACTGAAGGATCAGGACTCGGAATTATGTTTCGAGAATTTTTCTGATTCGTAAGAGGTTCCAAATCGTCATCGTCCCAATCACTATCTGCATTAGAGGTGGGTTTTGGCGACAGTTTCAAAACTAATGTGCATTTCAATTGAGACAGTGATGTGCGCGCCACAGAAATGTTATGAGCGTCTCCAAACTGGAAGAAATGTTTAGATTGAATACCTGGTATATTTTTCAGCCCTTCCCATTGATTATCCAGCATGGCTATCTTTTGTTTAACTTCTTCCTTCGCTACAAATTTAAAGATGATGTTCTTAGAGAGGCTGCGTGCTAGATCATAGAATTCGAAGGGGCTGTTAACAATAGCTTTCCGAGACTTAACCGCGATCCACACTGATCTTTTGACACTTCCACCTAATCCATCAACTGCACCTTTTCCGTGTGAGGCAGCAAAAAAGTTCCATTCGAGGTGATCGAATCCATATTCTGCTTTGAGTGAATTCATACTTGCCATTACATATCGATTCTTAAATTGTGCCGCGCAATTGTCGCTGAAGATATACAAATATGTAATGTTATCAGAGAAAGACTTGATGTACTCAAATATCTTTTGCAGGAAGAGATGCACAGTATATTTATTGTGACTAAGTTCATCACTTACTATGACCAATGAATGAAGCTTATCGGTAGTCCAAATACAACACGTGAAAAGCGTAACTTGTGCATGAGACCAATGTGCTGATTGTATTTCGTCTTGACTAATTAACGCGTAATTCTCGGCAAAATCTATCTGTATGACAGCTTTCTCACTGGTCAGGCCTTCTTTTGTGTTTTGGAAGTAATCCGATTGTATATTCTTAACAAAAGAATGGAGCTTAAATTTACCAGTGCTGTCATGTAATTCTTCTAGTGCTTCATTGAAAGGTTTGCTAATTACGATCTGTTTTGGTCTCTGATTCTGAAAGATCCAGGCCTTCCAATCAACACATGGATTCGAATCTAGAGTAAAATCCCAAATGTTGGATTCTTTACATGCATCGCAACTGCTGGACATGCATTCTTCATTGTTGACACTACATGATACCTGTTTCAGAAGCTCTTGGTGAGTTTTGGGAAAGTCCGTCACATGTTTCGAAATAGCCAGTAGAAGATTAATATAATTTGAGTGCGTTGTACATACGCAAACATTATGAGGAGTATCATTAATTGGCAGAACGTGAGCTGGTCTCTCATTATAAAAGGCAGTCTTGCCTACAGATATTTCAGGATGAGCTTCTTTAAAAATTTCGTAGGCTTCTCCAATGTTCATAATCATTGTTCTTTTTTGGATTCGCATCTTCACTCCTGTATTAGACTTGACTGTTTTCGCATCTTTTATGTCAGGCATTTGTCTGCTTATGTCATCCCTATTATAAAAATCACAAATAAGTTTTTTTACTTCATCCGTTAGCTTTCTAGGCGTTCCTTTAGGGGCATTATTTTCGTCAAAAGCTGCAATATTGAATTCAGAAGCTATTTTTTTTACAACTGCCACTGCTTTGGTGGGACTGGCTGGTAGATTACGTTTTATTTTTGCCACCGCCTTTCCTAGTGTGCGAGGACTTCTGTAGCTAGTAGATGATTGTTTTAATTGTTCTTCCTTACGTCGCTTTCTAGTTGCCTGCATTCGTTCTTTGGATCTGATTCTAGCCAATATTTTCAAATCTACATCTGCCTCCATCTTCGTTTTCATTACTTCTCTCCGTTTGGAATCACGAATCCTTTCCCGTTGGAGGTGTTCAGCATGAAGCTCAGGATTTTCTTTCAATTTCCGTCTATATTTCTCTGAAGCAGTTTCCATACGTTGCTCCGTTGTCATTTTAAACTATATTTCTGGTAAAAAAACAGAATAAAATATAGACACACATATTAAATATATATCATCAATCGTCTTTAATATATATAAATTAGTCAAGGTATATCAAAACCACGAATTATATAATTAGTCACACAAAAAGGTCGACGTAAAAAACAGTTGCACCCGCGATCTCACATCAAGATCGCGGGTGCAACCAATTTGAGTTATCGATTATTTTAATCTAACAATCATTACAGTCTTAAAAACAAAAACATTAAGTTTAGTTTTGATTTCTTCTTACTTTTGCAAAGTCTCAGAACGTTAGCTCTTTATTTCAGTGAAAAAAGTAAACTTTTATATCTTTTGCGTCGCGGGTGCAACAAGTCAGTAGGGTATTATTCTAGCGGTCGATTACTTTCAATAATTAACCATATACTTACATTTTTTGCTACGCAAAGATAAACGAATAATGACAGTTCACGTTTAGCTGGTAAAACTTAACCTCAAACTGTCCAAAACATATGATTCACGCCAGTGTTGCTAGTCATGATTTTACAACTTCTACCAATCCTTCGGATGACAATATTTTCAAACGCGACAAAAATGAGGGTATGGTATAAAATCACATAAAAATTATATGGCTATTAAAAGACTATCTTCTTTCCATAAATAACAATAAAAATAACTAATAGCGTGATTGAAAAAAAAAATGATTGCAATCGTCTATAGCGGAATGGCCCTGAAGTAAAGCAACTTTCGTAGTGGTCGGTCATTGGATGGGTGACCAAAAATTCACTATCTCGAGCTCCTTCGTGCTTCGGAAGGCACGTTTAGCCGTTGGTCCTGGTTGCATCTGCAGTCGTTAGCACCTACCAATCCGCACTGGGCCCGCGTGGTGGATCATGGCCCATACTCCCTATTCCATACATAGGGAAGGCCTGTGCCCCAGCAGTGGGGATATTATAAAGTTGATGATGATGATGATTATACTTGAGCCGTAAGACGCCTTAGATAAAGCTTCACAATTTTGAATTGATGTCAGGTGATTGAGGAACTAGATGGCGCAGGTGGTTAGCGCGTTCGGCTGCGATCGCTGAAGTTAAGCAACTTTCGCAGTGGTCGGTCATTGGATGGGTGACCAAAAATTTACTGTCTCGAGCTTCTCCGTGCTTCGGAAGGCACGTTAAGCTATTGGTTGGCTTAAGATGCCTTCCTGCATCAGCAGTCGTTAGCACCCACCAATCCGCAGTGGGCCCGCGGTTCATGACCCTAATTCCTTATGCCATCCATAGGGAAAGCCTGTGCCCCAGCAGTGGGGACATTAATAGACTGATAATGATGTCACGCAATAGGGTATTTGAGAGTTTTAAAAATAAAGTGCCAATTGTTAGAATCGGTGTTTAGAATGAATATTGGCAGGGGTTCTAAAAACTAACGAAAAAGATAATAGTTTTCTTATCTATTGACACGTGACCCAAAACGCTTGGGATCGGCGGAGCCTAAAATGACGTCACACGCAAGTAAACATCAGGTTAAAGTGACATTACATTGTATCGTTTGACGTTTTAATAACAGTCGTGTGACGTCACACACTAGTAAGACGCCATATTGTCCACAGAAACGTTTCCGCGGCAACTTGAAAATGGAGTTTTTGATTTGGTTATTTTTACTGAAATACACAACAGAATGATGAATATCCACTTTTTACGGACTCCATAAACATCAGTTAATAACGTGAGATCGTTTTCTAAAACTTGCAAATACCCTCTTCTCTCCCTATTTGTTTGTGCTAATTTGAAAGTTGCTCCGTTAGGCGGGAAGTATCACAAATCACAACACACATTACCTGAACGTCTTGCAAATTGTACTGTCCAATTTCCTCACCAATATTATCAGGCACGCCGTCCTCATCGAAGTCAGCGTTCCTGAATATGATGTCAGCTTGAGCTACTGCATGCATCATCCTTCTGACCACGTGGTTGAGGCTGGAGTTGGCGTCACTCTCATAGAACCTCTTGTCGGCGAGCAGCAGCAGGTCACAGATCCTGGCGCGAGCGATGCCAGGCGTTCTTTTGTGCTCTTCGATTTGGAAAGGGAAGTATGGAAGACGTTCCAGGAAGTCCAGCTGATGGAAAGGTAAAACTACCATTGTAAGAACAAAGTAATGTCTGTAATCACTCACAGAGTCGCCCATCCACAAGTACATAATAATGTCTGTAGTCACTCACAGAGTCGCCCATCCACAATTACATAATGATGTCTGTAATCACTCACTGAGTCGCCCATCCACAAGTACATAATAATATCTGTAATCACTCACAGAGTCGCCCATCCACAATTACATAACGATGTCTGTAATCACTCACAGAGTCGCCCATCCACAAGTACATAATAATATCTGTAATCACTCACAGAGTCGCCCATCCACAATTACATAACGATGTCTGTAATCACTCACAGAGTCGCCCATCCACAAGTACATAATAATATCTGTAATCACTCACAGAGTCGCCCGTCCACAATTACATAATGATGTCTGTAATCACTCACAGAGTCGCCCATCCACAAGTACATAATAATGTCTGTAATCACTCACATTGTCGCTCATCCACTAGTACATAATAATGTCTGTAATCACTCACATTGTCGCTCATCCACTAGTACATAATAATGTCTGTATATAACTTACAAAGATATCCATCCTTAGCGCATTCGGCCTGCGATCGTAAAAGTCAAGCAACAAGCAACGACATAACTGTGGAATATATTGTCGCCAGCAGTGTTTCCGGACCAATACGACCCAAAAACCTTCAAAAAAAGAGCGTACTCCTTCCTTAAAGGCCGGCATCGTATTTGTGATACTCCTGGTGTAGCAAGTGTCCATGGGCGACGGTGATCACTTACCATCAGGTGAGCCGTCTGCTCGTATGCCCCCTATGTATTCTATAACATAAAAAAATAAAAAAACTTTTGCAATGGTTGTTCATTGGATGTGTGATCAAAAACTTATTATCTTGAGCTCCTCCGTGCTTCGGAAGGCTAGTCAAGCTGTTGATCCTAGTTGCATCTGCAGTCGTTATCACCCACCAATTCACCGACCGAGTCTCACTTTTCCATCCATAGAAAAGGCCGATGTCCCAGCAGTGGGGACATTAATAGGTTGACGATAATGAAGTGTTTATAAGACTAGGGCCACTACCAATCAGGCGGGGAATATTTTTTTTTTTTATAGATTGATCCGACAAATGACTCCACCCCACCTGATGTTAAGGATTCTCGTTTGCCATTCATTTCACATTAAAAAACCTAAGTTAAATTAATATTTAATATATAATTAATATTTTCACCAAATTAAAGTTATACAGAAACGGTAAATGATATCTATTTAATCATTACTTAATTGGTTGGTGGTTTTGGTAATGGTCACTTGAGCACGCGTCGCGTCAATAGAAGCTGAGTACATGCTAAATTGACTTTCACATTAAAGTATATTTCTTTTAGTTCCATAGAGTAAAGTTAATACAACAACATAATGTTGTCGATTCTGACACGATTCTAAACTTACATTTGACAACAGTGTATCCTTGTCATTCTCTATATAGAATGAAAAGGAGAGACTGTTCTCATATTAAGTTTTAAGTTTTGAGAATTACCAGAATCGATACTATTAGCTGATAACAAAGAAATAGCATCTTAATGTAAGCAGCAAGCTAACACACGGAAACAACTAAGGCGCCTTGCTCACCGGGTCGGTGCGAGCTCGTTTCATTTCTGTTTCTGTACTGAATCTGTGCAGATTCTTTAACTTGTGCATGTAATTAAATGAGACGAGAGCTTCCTCCCTGAGTAGTTTCGGAACATAATCTTTACCGAGGGGATACACAGGTCTCTGTACTGAGTGCCACCGACCGGACCATTTAACTCGCCACGTCACAAAACCGTAGCAAATAAAACGAAACGATACCGCACCAATACCGAGCCGATCAAAAAGTGGTTCACGGTGAAGAATAAGTACAGATTCGGAACAGAAATGAAACTGAAACGAGCCTGCACCGACCCGGTGCCCGGGCGGCTTATAGAGCGCTTACATTATCAGACAATCGCAATGGAGAACTGCACCGAAAAAGGCCGGAATATGGACAACATAACCCTAACGTCATTGGTCCAGCCAAAGACAGAAAAGGCGGTACTTATAGGTCGTTTCCGCAAGCATAAATATCCTAGAAGATATTTTATGCGACAAACAAACGTACAACTTCAGCTATCCCCATCGCAGAACACAAAAAGTGGTTAGCAGGGTCTTGTAGGCGGGGCAGGCGTGCCACAGTTATGTGTGAGCAAATGCTCATAACTTGACCTAAATTTGGTTCCGATTGCGTCGTTGCTCTCGAGTGTGAGCGCTAATTGGGTCGATTGTTTGAAGTCGCGTCGTTAGATTGGCTATTATCGTTGAGGTAGAAGTGTAGTGGGGGCGAGCTGGCGATATCGGTTCGTGTACTAAAGCTCTATGAGCACCCTTCTAACCTCTTATAATGCGATTCAACTAAGAACAGGACCGACTGGGCGCCATATTGTGATGTCATAGCTGTCAATTCAAACCAAATAGGTAGAGTGAGCAATAAAAAGTAATTTAATAAAACTTATTTACTAAGATTAAGTGAGCAAAAGCATCAGATTTTTTTAATAACATTTATTTACTAAGATTGAGAAAAAAACCCACCAATTTTTAATAATATTTTCTCACAGTCTTACTATGAGAAAAACATTAATCAGAATCTAGCTCATTACCGCCGGAGTAGTTATGAATAATCATGCACTATTACTAAGTCACATACGAACATGCATCCTTTATGTAAATGAAAGTTTGAAATCGAGTTTCTGAATGCAACTTAAAGTGACATTTGGTTGACGATTTAGGTTATCAACCATTCATGACCAGAGCTCAATAAGTGAAAAATAAATATCAACCGATATTAATTATCAATATTTGTTATTGTTTGTTTACAAATGTTTGGTTTTTATTCTTGAATTAGCAGAGTGTTAAAAAAGGGTTCCAAGTTTTTTTTTTGCAAACCGTACTTTTCAAGCGACATTTGACAGATAGAGGTCATTGGCTTTCCTATTCTTATTTGAATCGCATATACTGTGTTCTGTGATCCTCACTGGACTGTGCCAGCAGTATGACCCCAACCACGATGTTATAATTTGTGGACCTCTGGCAACATTTACTCACGGGCAACTTTTTTTGGCTGTAGGTTTCTAAAAGATAACTTTACTCCTCTGATTATTTACTTCAAAAGAAGCGAATTAACAAAGTTCGCGGTGCAACAGCTATTCCTTAATGGCCATAAGATTAATGGTCGCTTTCCAGATATTTCTAATGTCCACATTATCTAATAAAAATGTGTAATTAAATAAATAATGGTAATGTCGCCTCTAAAAATAAACATGATCTGTGTTGCCTACTTAAAGTAATGGCTTTTTAATGAGGACCTTAATTAACTTAGTGATTATTGTTTTCGAAGTTTGGCCCTATCTTTGGCGTACGCTGCATAAAATGTTGTGCGATAAAACTTAATACAAAGAATAAAGTTTACATCATATGAATAAATGAAAAAGTGTTAATTTTCGCCACAGAATAGATGAAAAGGCCACCAGTCACATTTGGTTTTAGAACCATTGCCCGCGTTGTCTCCTACTCTCGAGACTGCTAAAAACTGCAAATTCTCATAATACTGTAACGTCTGTTACGTTACAGCCTCCTTGTATGGGTAAATTCTTTGGTCATGTAATGCCTACGGCTGGCAGTTATATTAAAAAGTTATTGTCATGATTTTAATATTTGATATTAGGAATCGTCTGTCTTTTGATAGAAGATTCCACATCATATAGACTTCAGGTACCAAACCATATGTTAATAAGATTAAACTCATATATATTATATTCGCCTGAAATCTAATAAAACCAATATAAAATCAAAGTTGTTTCAATAAATTGCTACGCTCCCAGGGCCTACCCTTTCAGGGTAGATCGCCGCAATACCATCTGGATTTGTTCATTTGTAGAGCTTACTTTTCGGGATACCCGTGCCACAAGGGTTCCAGGGGTAGAGGGTTGGGTTCAGTCTGGCAAGGTAAGTATGTCTGGAGCGACAGACTTCCTGCCGCATCATCTATCATCTTGAATGGACTCCATTTACATACACTTAACATCAGGTGGTAAATTATTATATACTAGCAAACCAGTGAAACAAATGTTCACCAAAACCTGATTTAAAAAAAAAAACAATTAACCTTTAAATAGTTAATTCAAATTGTGATAATTACAAAATAGAAATCACGTGATTTCTCGAAAACCGGAAGTGCTACGTTACTCAAATCCGGTTTGTAGTCTTATCAGACTATTCTTAACTTATAACTTCAATATTCTCTTTATCTATCTCTTACGGTTTGGCCGCTGAAACAGCACCACAGACAGACGGACGGACGGACTTGTCTAATAGATAAGAGATGTTTTGTAAATTGGTGAAAGACCTGTGTCAAATGATGTTGAACAACCTATCTACAGAGGTGTGTTTACCTTAGAGCTAAAAGAGTCATGGCCCGTGGTGATAATTAATGAGGCTGCAAATATTAGTCCCGAAGAGACAAATTTCAGAATTAGCTCCTGTCTACTGCGGAGACCTACCTTGAAGGGGTAGATCCTGGGGGCGTAACGTTATAAAATGAAAACTAATTAGATATTTAACTCTTTTATTGAATTCTGAATTCAGGTGAATATAATTAATAAATTTTATCTATCAACGAGTGGTTTGGTGCCTGAAGTCTATATGATGTGGAATCTTCTATCAAAAGACAGACGATTCCTTATTTCAATTTTTTTTTGTTGAAGTTCTCCCGTTTTAGTGAAGGCAAAGGAAACAATGCCCATACAGCCTGGTCTTTAATTAAATTAATCTTCTTTTTGTTTTTACATTAGAATTTCGGTGTGACGCATTCTAATGTTTCTTGGAGTGTTTGGCACGAAATGTATCGATTTGGCTTTTTCGATAAGTTTCTGTGAGGTAGTCAACACTACAACAAAATTCTCAAGTCCACTTGACCGGAATAGCGTATATTTTAACGATTCCACTAATTCTTCAGTTACGCAGACAGTTGTTACACAAAACCATACCAATTTTATTTCACAATATCCACTATGAACGAATTTAAGAATAATTAAATTAAGACGCCAACCACACTCGATGAAATCCCGCCAAAAACTCTTATTTCAAATATTAAAATCATGACATTAACTTTTTAATATAATGCCAGCCGTAGGCATTGCATGAACAAAGAGTTTACCCAAACAAGGAGGCTGTAACGTAACGGACGTTACACTACCTATGATGGTTAATAACCTATGGATGCTGACCAATCTACCTATGTTGGTGAACAGCCTATGATGTCGAACAACTTCACCTGATCACCTGGGCATAGTCCCGGCGCAGGCGCGGGCCCCCCTCGTACTCGTTGTCGAATGCTCCGAACAACTTCTTGGGGTCATCCCTCCCGTATGGATCCGCGTGGAGGGTCCTGTTGCCTGGATGGAACAAGATGGAATAAAGCCGTGAGGCTTAAAATTTGTGTCCGATCGCTTGGGAATAGCTAAAAGATTTTCGGAATGGGTAGACAAAAAATTGCGACGATCTAAAAGAACTTCCTTCTAACTAAAGGAGATTGCTCAAATTAGCCCAAGGGTACAAAAAATATTGACATATACGGTAATTCTTGGCGTAATTTATACTTCATTTTACAGTCATTAGATTTTAACGGACACCTTTGTATAAAATATTATCTACATGCTTTCCTATATAACTTATTTGTTTTTTATTATTTTAATACTTATACAAACAAAACCTCAAAATCATTCAGTGAATATGGTTTATAGAAGTTCTCAGGGGTGTCCGTCAATAATATTCGTTCTACAGTAATTTATATATAATATCGAATCTAAGAAACATTTTTTCATGATTATTGGTCTTTAGGCCAAACATGTATGGAAGCTGAGCAATCTCCTTTTAATAAAGAACGTTAGTATATGTATTTTCATTTCATCGAAATTTCGGTTTCGGTCAAGTTAAATAAAGCGTTTTGTCTAAGTTTTCTGTCCCATTCAGCGGTATTCACTATAGGTCGTTTCCGGACGGCATCTTAGACCTAACTAATGTGGCATCACGCTTAAACCAAATATGGCATCGATGAGGCGTGGCTATTTCGATGATATTTAGTTCTACACTTTCTATCAATAAGTTGCATCTTTAATACTCTGCAGACCTCGCAAAGAAGTTATAATTACAGGAAATATCCTGATTATGGTCGATAAAGACACGCTTACCTAAATGCAGTACTCCGTAGAACTGGTGATCGTCACCGATGTAGCCCTCTGCAGAACCTGCGCTAGGGTCTTCCACGGGAAACCCATATGCCATAGTCACGTCGGCCAGGGAGAAAGCTCTAAAAGTTTTGTCATGATAATAGAATCATCATAGGAGCTCGATGGCATACGTGGTGAGCGCATCCACCAACCTACGATCGTTACAGTTAAGTAACTTTCGCAATGGTCGGTCCTTGGATGGGTGCCCAAAAACTTATTATCTTGAACTCCTTCTCCTTCGTACTCCGAAAGGCACGTTAAGCCATTGGTCCCGGTTGCATTTGCAGTCCTTGGAGCCCACCAATCCGCACTGGGTCCGCTTGGTGGGTCACGGCCCAGCCTCCCTGTTCCATCCATAGGGAAGGCCTGTGCCCATGCAGTGGGGACATTAACCGTCTGCTGACTATAGTGATAGGAATCATCAGTCTTTTGAAATTCACTACAGTACATAGGCCTCCCTCAGCGAATGCCATCTGGTGATGCCAATATGATGTGTCGATTAACAACACAACATATTCGCTTATATGGAGCTCTCACCTAGAGCAGAGTCTCCTAGGTATTTAATATTCCACCGCTGGGTTAAAGGAATTTCCTATGGTATATAGAGACAACGGGCTAAAACCTATCACGCTTGACAGGGTGCGGACAACTGCTGATGCAGCCGGGATCATGTGGGAGTTCTAAATTATAACTACTAAGTTCCTGGTTACCCATCTCGTGACATCACAGAAATATTTACTTAACTATTACCCGCACGCAGACCAATAGGCTAGTTGACTCATGTCGAATTGTATTAAATAAATGTTTATTTCTTAAAGTATTTGGTCTAAGGAACCTAAATATATCGATTTCACTTCATAAAAGCAGAAGATTGCTGTAGAAATTTAATTTTAAAAAATATTTTTTGGACTATATTTTTTAAACACTAAAAACGCTATTCGCCACATCCGCCATGATTGTGACGTCTCATATGGTAAACAACTAAATGTCATTCGCGTGTTACTGTGGGTGGATTCTTTCGTCTGACTTAATTTATCATAAAACACTTTTAACTTTAGAAAAGTTTCCGTTTACTGTTTTTTTTTGAAAAAACTAATTATGGATGCCGGCTTTGTGAAAACAGAAAGCACAAATCTGCCAAGAATTAACGCATTCATGATTGGTGAATTTATTTCACTAAACCCCGATTTCTGCTCTGCGGAGCAGAGAAACGACAAGGCATCTATGTAAGTACAGTGTATTTAGTATTACAATGTAGTAATAAACCTAAAACTGATACAACATATGAATAAGTGTAATAAAGTTGCGTAGGTTAATTTCTTTCGGCACTTTTAATTCACAACTTTCCTGGAATCTTCAAGGATGTGTTTTTATATTCTCGTACAATACAATAATGATAATTACTTTATTTTTCGGGGTATTTATTAGAAATCATCTTTTGTTTATTATAAAGTCAGTTATTTTCTTACGAGTTTTTGTTTATTTACCTTTCTCTATGTGTTTACTGCAGTTAACGTCATAGCATAGATAATCTTTAGACTAAAATGGCCGATAGCGTTTTTGTATGTCCATGAAAAATCTATTTTAAAATTAAAGATTTGTAGCTTTTTAGGTCTCAAAAAATACAATACATTTTTTTTCGGTCTAATAGAACATTTATTAACCATTTAAAACCTTTTTCCAAAAAGGGTCAACTAGCCTATTGCGTTACCTACTTCGTCATTGAGCTCATTGAGGTAAGATACTGCAACTAAAACAATTTCTATTAGTAAAGCTTTGTAAGGTTACTTATTCCGACGAATCTTCGAGTTGAGCGGAGCGGTTTCTACTGTAAAGAGAGGAAGGCACAGCGGATTTCCCGTTCAAATTGGAGCGCCGCGCGCCGTCTAGGGAAGCAACCTCTACCTTACAGAAGATTACAGAAGACCACAGTAAAATAACAGTACCTTTTGTTGGAGGAGCTCGATGGCGCATGTGGTTAGCGCGTTCGGCTGCGATCGTTGAAGTTAAGCAACTTTCGCAGTAGTCGGTCATTGGATGTGTGACCAAAAATTTACTATATCCAGCTCCTCCGTGCTTCGGAAGGCACGTTAAGCCGTTGGTCCCGGTTGCATCTGCAGTCGTTAGCACCTACCAATCCGCACTGGGCCCGCGTGGTGGATCATGGCCCAATCTCCCTATTCCATCCATAGGGAAGGCCTGTACCCCAGCAATGGGGACATTAATAGGCTGATGATGATGATGATGAAAGCTTTGTAAGGTTACTTATTCAGACGAATCTTCAAGTTGTGCGGAGCGGTTTCACTGTATGTATCATCACCTTCGCGATTGCACTCCACTTACACTTAACATCAGATAGGGTGGCAGTGCCTTCTTTGATCTATTGAAGGCCCTGGGCATATTAGGATAATGCCCCCCCCCCCCCCCCTATGACTTCCGTTTGGTGATTTGGTATTTGATCTGAGGGGGCCCCCTATCTATCGCCGGTCCCTGGGCACTTGCCCAAAGTGCCCACTGGCAAAGACGGGTCTGTGGGGTGGGGTAATTTGATGCGCGTAGTATAAAAAAACATCTCTCGCTATTTTTTTGGTTATTAATTTTAGTGCTATGACGTAAGGTATGCTTTTAAATATAATATTGTCTTCTAATTATTCATCATCCTTAATGTATAAGTAAATGTTTATTTTAGATATTTCCTGTTACCTAATGTCGTTGTCTCCATCAGGCTCTAGTGACTCAGGGTCCAAGAATAAAGCAGACTGGTGGGATGTCAGCGGGGAGGATCCTGGCAATAATTTTCTTTATTACTAGCTGTGTCCACGACTTCGTACGCATGAACGTTGGAAAATAACAACATGTCAAAATGTATAGCTGACTTGATTATTCTGGTGAAGTGAAATCCTCTAGCTTTTATGTTACTTTTGGCCAAGAAAAACCGAAAATTTTACCATTACTGAAGTTCACTTCCGCAAAGGATAAAGTCTGATTCTATGCTTTATTGGTTATTTGATTGGTTACTCGAAATACCTTGTAGACATACCAATGGCATGGACCTGTTGTGTTACTACAGCCCGGGGTCACCCCATATGCAGTAGAAATGAGATCCAGCTAACAAGAAACCTATCGTAGTCCCGCTGGCGGTGAGATAAATTCCTTAAAGTACTTACACAAAGCATAATATTTATCTATCTCTACGAATCGATCTCCGTTTTTTGTGTGTGTATGCTGTTGGTCGCAGATGACCTTTACAGCGTCACCGGGTTTGGGGACGGCGAGATGCTAAGGGGACCTCAAGCCAAGAATTGGCGAGTGCCTCTAGAGGTATTCCACGCGGAGTCACGTCTGGAGCCTCTAGACCACTCGAACCTGAGGAGGACGGCTCAACTAGATCTCTCATTTCTCGAGGCATCTCTGAGACTTAGACCTCGGCTCTAGCTAGCCGTTGTCGTGGGGGGCGGGGAAAACGCCCAGGTACGTTTCTGTACCTGGTATAGCGTGTCGTGTGTATACTACCTCGCACTCTTATCCTACGGGTGCGGTGTCTGCCTAAACGATCTCCGGTACTTTGCCAGTACTACAGGTGAAATGAACACATTTTCCATCATTACCTATGGCTTTCAACTTCAAACACAGCAAATGGGTCTCCTTCCCGAACTTCGCGGTCACTAGCTTGTGTCCATACGCGCTGCACATTGCGTGACCTCGCTGGACATTCGCCGTATTCAACCCAAGGTATTCCTTAGCACTGACCAAAGCTAAAACTAGAAGGAACGCTGTTACCATCGCTCAATTTGGAATTTCTCAGGACTACGTCATGTTTTTACTGGACTAGAATAGAATCTAGCATAACCTTAATTGACAATGTCTTTTTTGGCGTTGAAAGAAATATCAGAGAGAAATAATTGTTGATAGAGTAAAGGCTTCAATGATTGTCGTTGCTCTGTTATTTTTAACCGATTTTAAAAAGGAAGATTTTCTCATTTCGTCTGTTTGTTGTTACAAACTTATGAATCGACTTCATAAAAACAAGCTATTAAAAAGTGATAGGTGATCATATAACGTATCCATAAATAGAAAGTTTATTAAAGTAAAATTATCAGAATTCAGAGTCGGGGCCAGAAATAGAACTGAGCTACCTTTCACTACAGTACTCTAAGTACGAAACATAATCGAATTTGAATTTCATCTATATATACGTCAAATAATAATATAATAGATTACTGAGGAGCTCGATGGCGCAGGTGGCTAGCGCGTTCGGCTGCGATAGTTGAAGTTAAGCAACTTTCGCAGTGGTCGGTCATTGGATGGGTGACCAAAAATTTACTATCTCGAGCTCCTCCGTGCTTCGGAAGGCACGTTAAGCCGTTGGTCCCGGCTGCATTTGCAGTCGTTAGCACCCACCAATCCTCACTGGGCCCGCGTGGTGGGTCATGGCCCAATCTCCCTATTCCATCCATAGGGAAGGCCTGTGCCCCAGCAGTGGGGACATTAATAGGCTGATGATGATGATGATGATACGTCAAATATGTACTGATTTTTAGTTCTCGTTGCGACCGTTGTGGCGCTGCGGTTCGAGTTTTTATACAAAATTTGACATTGCCATTTCGCACTCGAATACTATTCGAATTTGATATTGGTTCGTGCTAGGAGTACTGTACCCCTAGTCTGAAATGTCGTTGTCAAATTTTGTATGAAAACCAGGAGGCCTACTCTAATTCAACGAAAAACGAAATTTCGATCGAAACTTCGCACTTTTGTGTTGTTGTCGATATTTCTGGTTCGTTTTTTAATTATAATTATATTCGTCGTCGGAATTTAGATTGAGGTGTACATTTTCTAAGCCTAGGTACTCAAAGAAAGCTTCAATTTGATAGTTTATCGTTCAAATAAAGTATTACCTTAAATTGACGAAATTAAATTTCGTTTGAACTTCGTTATCGAAAGTTCGTTTCGGAGAAAGAGAGTAGATCTCCTGAACAGCAGTTCCATACATATTATAATTAGAGCCTGTCCAGATACCGCGTTTTACGCGCGTTTCTACGATGGGAGCGATCCAGCCAGTTACAAACATGGACTCGAATGGTTGAATTCGATCTTGTATAAATGTGAACAATCAACAGCTTTTCACCAACACCGAACTAATGACACAAAGTGAGGCTAAATAGTGACGTGTACAACCGAACTATCGCAACTGAAAAGTTGCAGTTCTTCGGTCTACCAGACTACTGCTACTAGAAGGTAATATCTACAGATACAGAATAATCAATGGAAACTGCTTATTTATAAAGTTTAAATGGTGTCCGAGTCGTGGGCCTCGACGAGGTCACGACAGCAAACGAAGTGGCCGAAGCTGTGGCGAAGGCCAGGAGTTTCGACCCTCCTGTGAGTAAAGTTGCTGAGTCTTCGGGGTCGAAGCAGGTGCCCTCGGATGAGGAGATGTCCGAGCGCTCCCCACCCCCGCTCCCCTCCCCGCGCATGGAAGAAAGGAACAAATGTCGTGGGAGTCGGGACGATTGCTCTATCGAGCCGATAGAGCAATACTTAGACAAAAGAAGAAATTGTCTGTTCTTCTTTTGTGTAAGTATTTGAATAAATTAACGCAGTCAATCAGCCTATCCATAATATATATATAGATATGTGATCAGGTCAATTTGTTAAATTGTATCAAGTTGTTTATTAACTTTATTATGATTATTGTGATTGCTTATAATTGGTTATTGGTTGGACTGCATATAAGAAAATTGTAAAGCATCTTATTAAATCTTTAATGTATGAATATGTGTGACTGTTAGCATGTCTAAATAATATGACTGTGTTTCTGTCCTGTGACCATTTTAGAAATAATAAATTGAGAATAAAAAAAAACATATTTGTTTCTTAGGTTTTCACGCACATCACTCATTAAATAAAACTAGTTTTAACGGGTTAATGCACGAAACTTTATTTATTTATTGACGTTTCGCAGCCTTTTCAGGTCTGCATCGTCAGAATAAAGCAGAAGTCTGACGAAGCAGACCTGAAGAGGCTGCGAAACGTCAATAAATAAATAAAGTTTCGTGCATTAACCCGTTAAAACCAGTTTTATTAAAAAAAACATGTTTTAAAAATAAAACAAAACACAAGGTTCAAACAAATTTTATATTTAAGCCATAATATAATCCTCGAAGAATGCAAATAAACGACACTTTTATAACTCTACAACAATCCCTGGTAACTAATCAGCGAGCTAGGCGAAACCATCCAGCGCGGACGGACCATAAATAGTAGACTTACAAGAAAAAAATTATAATGGCTATGCTAGGGCTAATTATACCTACCGCTGTCCCGAACGACGCCTGTCCACAATAAAATTATACCGCACTATAAATAGAATGGGTTTCGACGAAGGTGCAGTAATTACCGCACGTAACGTATGTCTAAGGGATGAAATATACGGGAGCATTTTCGGTTCAGTTAGCTCACAGAACACAGAAACAGATTAGAAGCCCCACTACGCTTCATTCTAATAGATAATAGCCAACTAAACGACGCGACATCAAACAATCCAACCAATCGTCGCTCACACCCGAAAGCAACGACGGAATCGGAACCAAGTTGTGGTTAAGTTATGAGCATTTGCTCACACATAACTGTGGAAAAACAAGGTAAATATAGTAAACGTAGTGCATACTGCTGTTATGAATGTACGCATTATGTGCAGCCAGCCACAGACAGAGCCACCAAGGTCTTCAAATTAACTTAAAACTTATAACATGATACTTCAGAAATAGAAAGTACAAAACGGTGACCAACTTTCGCAAAATTTTCTATCTTCCGCAAAAAAAGCACGTATATAATTTCAGACGTCATCAATTTAATAATTCATTCTTAACTTAGATAATTTTTTTTTTATAAAATCAAACATTCTCTATACAGGTATTGTGATTGAAAAGTTACAGTGATTCTATACAATACAAATTTAGGTAAAAGGTCTATTTATTAATCAAGACATGATTTACATTGATGATAATTTAAATAAATGCAGAAAGTGAGCTGAACTTTACTTCAAAAATTCACTGTATTCGCGGTTAAGAAGTTAACTATCGAATTTGAGATATATTGCTAGACACTTTGTTGGAGAGAGGAAATGTATGTGAATAATTACGATGGGCTCATTTCACTTCTACCGTCAAACTCAACATATTTATGTGATAAAAAAAAATACTAATTTTGTGAAAAACCGAGTAAATAATAAAAACTGTGGGAATAGTAATCTAAATAAAAATGAGAGAGAGAGAGAGAAAGACGAGGTTTTTTCCAATTTATAATCATCATCATCATCATCATCATCGACCCATGCTCGTCCACTGCTGGACATAATAAATAATACAATAATAAAAAATAATAATGATATAATAATACAATTTATAATATTTGTTTGTAAATATCGAAAGTTGTTTGGCTTTCTTACATTACGAAATCTCATCCCGTATGTTTCACCAGGTCAGGCTAGATTCTCGCGAAGCGTGCGCGCGCGCAGCCGGGCGCCGAGCGTCGACCCGCAGCTGCGATTATTCATACTAATACATTTTATATGTAAATCTCTTATCTATTAGACAAGTCCGTCCGTCCGTCTGTGGTGCTGTTTCAGCGGCCAAACCGTAAGAGATAGATAAAGAGAATATTTAAGTTATAAGTTAAGAATAGTCTGATAAGACTACAAATCGGATTTGAGTAACGTAGCACTTCCGGTTTTCGAGAAATCACGAATTTCAAACGAAACCACACAAAATCTCCGAGGTTCTCAATTAATTAAATCCTTTTTTTTGACGTGACAACGTCTTAAATTAGGTTGCGGCTGGGAGTCACTTATGAAAAAGTGTAACGCTCGGTAACGTTACGATGAGTCTCTCGTGTTAAGTTTAAGTTTACATGTACAATGTTTTAGTAAACAAAATATATTTCTATAGTTAAAATTTGTGCAATTCTTATTTTCATCCAATTCCTTGTTCCTATTGTGCAATTTAATTATATTCATATCAATAAATATTCTACCGAGAAAAAGACGTTGTCACGTAAAATCTTCGCCCGTAAAACCGACTTTACAGGCAACCATTTTTTTAAATCAGGTTTTGGTGAACATTTGGTTCACTGGTTTGCTAGTATATTATATTATATAAAGCTGAAGAGTTTGTTTGTTTGTTTCGATGAACGCATTTTCGTTCAAAAAATTCACTGTACCAGTAGTTTCTGACTACTGGTACAGTGAATTTTCTATTATATAATGAAAACGAATACTAAACTTTTAACCTTTTTCGTTCATATTTAGAATGACTTTTCCATTTTTATTTGTTACTGAAGTGTAGTCTACAGTTTTTGTTCTCAGGCTTGTATTATACACAATGACATTCATCTATGATTCTTCTTATACCTGCATGCAAAGTCTCAGCCCGATCGGCTTAAAATTGTCAAAGTTTTATACAAACTTTCATTCCCTATTTCATCCCCTTGGGGGTAGAATTGTTCAAAATCCTTTCTTAGCGGATGCCTACGTCATAACATCTACCTGCATGCCAAATTTCAGCCCGATCCGTCCAGTGGTTTGGGCTGTGCGTTGATAGATCACTATGTCAGTCAGTCACCTTTGAGTTTTATATATAAAGATTTAAAAAATCAAACCTCATCGACAAGTACCGGTGGTTCAGTGGTAGAAAGCTCGCCGGCTACGCGGGTTCTATTCCCAGCCGAGGCAGGACTTTTTTTGATGTGAAACATCTTTTTGCGCACCTTAAACCGATTTCTGGCGTGGCGACGCTCGCGGTCAGTGTTTCCTCAATGAGGGGAAATCCCCCTTTTAAGGGGAAATTAGGATCCAGAGGGGAAGCAAAAGGGGACAGACATAAAAAGGGGAAATTGCGGGAAATTATGGGTAAAGCCTAG